CAGCAGTATGGCTACATTAATAGCTGCTGATTTGAATCAAATCGATCCACTCAGATAAAAAAGCAATGTGCTTTCATGCTGTTATCGGCGCTTTTTACGGCAAGAATACTTCATTTAATGCATCACATATGGTGGACAAAAGTACACTTTTATCGGCACAAATATTTCATTAACCGCATGGTGGACAAAAGTACATTTAGCTAATGTGCTATTACAAGTAGACAATAAATATGTAAAAACTTTCAATAGTGACCTTATATTATTAGAGTCAATGATTCATGTAGTATAACTATTTCGGCATGTCAAATGCTTTTTGTTTTAAATTATGTACGTACGTGTAATGGATGGTCAAAAAATACTTGCCACGTGTAAAGCCTCTCCGCTCACAAATTAAGTATATAACAATGAGCAATATAATCCTACCATAATAACAAAACTACACGGCTGTTGGCCCAAAATTAGAGATTCAGTCAGTTGTATATTATCTTGTAAACATTGTTTACTCTTTTCATTTACGGAGTAAACTTTGCTTCATTTATTTGTGAACGACAATGTTACTCTTCACAAAATGTTAGGACGACAATGAAGATATAGTATAATCTAATAAAAACGGTTTTCATTCATAATAGCAATGAATTTAATGTTAACTTTTTAGACGATGTTTCTATAATCGTCGAAAGTAAAACATGGGAAGTGGATATACTTATGCTTGCTCTAGCTTGCCGTCGGCTTGCCGTGCGCTTGACTTCATTTCTTCTAAGCACTCATCCCATGGGTGAAAAGGGGAGCCCGAGCAGCACTTTCCTTTACGATAGCAACTTGTAGTGTAATAATATTGTCTTAAAAAATTGAGTTTCCAATTAAGTGATAGGAAACTACAATAATAGCAAACTTTAAAAACTTTACCTCTATAAGCAGAGCCATAATTATCATAACCCCCTACTGCACCGACAGCAGTAATTTCATAAGTTCCAGTGTAAGGCACTGTCCAATACTGGATACCTTTTGATACGGTTACCATTTTTTCGTGATCCTGACCATTGTAAAATTGACCAATTTTTGTTGGACCGTGGCGACCAGTGGCTCCAAGATTTGTAAATCTTGCATTGAATTGACGGAACTTAACTATATTACAATACAACTATTGAATTGAATCATTTAAATTGCATATAAACCTTACGTATTCTTTATAAGGCCATATTCCAATTTTTTTCTGTAATCAGACAAATAGTTTGCGCTGTAAACTCCGTCAAATTTGCAAAAATATACCATTTTAAGCGCTCAGTTTTACCGATATGGGACTGGACCTGCGCGTCCAGCTGACGTCATGTAAGTAAAACGGGTTAGAACTGTCGAGAGTCAAATTTTTCAATATCCAGATACGAAACCTGTCAAATTCAACAGGATATAAATAATTGTAGCCACATTTTAATCAAAATCACAACAGCATGGCGAACAAAACGATAGATGGAAGTCAAAGTTCAGAACGAACAACTGTAATTTCTTGTTCAAGTCAAATACAAAGCAACAAATATGCCATTCTGAAAGCGAGATTTGTATTGTCGGAATTTCTTACAAAGCTCACACAATGAAGTGCGGATGCTGCTAAGGACAAGGGCTTTGGAAAATCAAGGCTGAGGAGACGTGATATGATGGTTTCTTATTCTCAATAACTTTTTGTCTCGTTATAAAAACTCGTATAAACGTGGGATGTATACAACCCGTCTTAGAAACATCCCGTCTTACCTCCCGATATAAAAAGTAAATATTATGCCACATGTGTTTTTTCATTCGAGCCTAGTGTTGCTGCTAAAACTACTGTCAAAGTCTACGTCAAAAATTTTATCTTCTGATGAATCCAACGATAAAAATGCCGACATAAATAAAGCCAATTTTTTAAAAAAGGACGCTATGGATAATTTACAGCAGACAGTTTGTCTTGAATTAAATAGAGCCGTGCGAACTGTGTTCCTTACATGACGTCACGACACGAACTTGATACCAGACCCCTTAGTGAAAAATATTTATGGTAAATTTGGATTTTTAACAGCAATTTCCCAATATATACTAAATGTAAATCAATTTATTTTTTGAATTTGTTAATTTCACTAGTTGTTCTTTCAAACAATACTAAAATCCTGTAAGGTTTATATGCACTTTAATCAATGGAATACAAATATGTTTTATATGAAGCGCAAGCTAGCTTGAGACAAGAAGTAATCAATCAAATGTTAAATATCGAAGCACAATCTATTTTCAAATTAATTACAAGCATAAATAAGTAGAAATATTTTTCTGTTTACGTACCGTCAGTTCTGTTTAAGCATAATGATGCATACGACCTTTCAAATGATTTAACTTCTGTTTTGATGTCATCACAACAATCAGGAGAAAGTGACGAATTTTTCTTACACAGTACCTGATAAGCATCCATTTTTAAATCAGCCAATATTTTGATTTTATCACAGCACAAAGAATGACTCCTGGTGATAAAAATATAATTTTTTAAACAGCTAATTAAACTTGAATAGATATCTTTAATTATTTAAGTTTGAATAGAATTTTTTCTGACGCAAATGACTCTTGAATGACTGTCTTGGAGTTTATGTCATATGAGCAACAACAAATGCCTGGTGGATAAGTAATTATAACAATCTGAGTATCATTGAACGCAATTGAAAGGAATTGCGACAGGAAAAGCATCTTTCGTAGCTACAAAAAGTCAAACTTCCTGACCCAATAGGATCGCGAGATAACAATGTCCGTTATCATTGCCTTCAACATAAAAATTGCTGATGAACATGCTAATTTTAAAACTACGAGAAGAAGAAGAAGTAAAATGCAAAAGGAAATAAAACAGACAGAAAGTTGAAAAGAGAAGTGAAAAAACAAATCTTCGGAGTGAACACATAATAGGTAATTTGTTGGCGAAAAAAGAGAAGTGATATATATGATGGGGAAAAGTCAGATTAAGGTTTCTTGTATTAATGAAACAAGATTTAGGGAAGCAAAATTAAGATACTTAGGATAAAGCTTAAAAAATTGTGGCACAATAATGCTAAAAAAAGAACAACAAGCATTGGTACAAAAATCATTTACTGGAGGTAGTTGGGAATTTTGAAGAATAACATATCACCTGGTCCTAAACATGTTGATGTGGCTTCGACTTTAAACGATCTTGGCAATGTGTATCGTCGTACTAAAGAATATGACAAGTCCAAAGAGTGTTATGAAAAAGCGTTGAAAATTCGTCAAAAATCCCTTGGTCCTAAACATATTGATGTGGCTTCGACTTTACACAATCTTGGTAATGTGTATTATAAGACCAACAACTTTGCCAAAGCCAAAGAGTGTTATAAAAAAGCGATTGAAATTGCACAAAAATTACTGGGTCCTGAACATATTGACGGAGTTATGACTTTAGAAAATCTTGGTGAAGTTTACTATGAGACCAACAAATATGCCAAAGCCAAAGAGTGATATAAAAAAGCGTTTACAATTCGAAAAAAATCACTTGGTCCTGAGCATGTTGATGTAGCCATGACTTTAAATAATCTTGACAATGTGTATCGTCGTACTAAAGAATATGACAAAGCCAAAGAGTGTTATGAAAAAGTGTTGGAAATTCTACAAAAATCACTTGGTCCAGAACATGTCGATGTAGCTACGACTTTGAACGATCTTAGCAATGTGTACCATTGTACTAAAGAATATGACAAAGCAGAAGAATTTTATGAAAAAGCGCAGGCAATTTAAAAAACATCCGTTGCTTCGGATCATGTTGTTGCTACTGAATCTTTGAAGAGTATTGGTATGTTATTCTTTATTTTTGTATAATATAGCATATATAAGCGTTTTAAGTGCAACGTTTGAGGTTTTTGAAATTTCAGTCAAACCTTTTTTGGTCTTTTGTGTTTACAAATCACGAATTAATCTTGTAATATGTTTGGCTAGATCTGAACAGAAAAAAAACTTTTAGAAATATTTATAAAATTAGTTAAGCTGTTTGTGGTGAAATTGGGATTAATTTCGAGTAATGATTTTATTTTAGTCCGTTTAACAATCCTGAGCATTTATCTAGTTAAGTTCTCATATATATAGTCCATTTGTAGTGCTATCTTAAAATGGATAAAAAAGATTTGTTTCTTAAAGTTTGATGCAAATTGAGAACAATGTAATGCACTTCAATATATTTTTAGGAGCAAAAATATTTTAAATCTCTCTTAACATATAAATTAAACTAAACAAAACTAAACTAGTAAGTAAAAACGACTCATGCAATTAAAATTTGTTTTTGGTAAAATATTCCATGTTTTCTTTCCATCTTTTGCTTTACTATGTGTTTTGAAATTTAGGGCTAGAAACTACTGAGAACCTTTTCCTCCTAAATCTTTCTAAACTGATATGCATAAATACAATTTGTTTGACTTTGCCCTGGTTCAACTATTTTTCTTTTTTGATATATCTGCTTTTTACTTAATACAAACGTATGCTTTAAAAAAATCTCAAGTACTCTATTTAAAATTTTTCTTGCTCTTTATTATAGCTACAAGGCTGGGGCAAGTTATTTTTATTACAAATATGTTTTGTTATTTCTATATATGACGAGTTTTACTAATTGCTTTTAAATTTTGTTTGTATAAATTAGAACAATTAAAAAAACCTAGGTAAAAGTTAGGACATAAATAAAGTTTTAAATTCTTTCAGTTTTTTATTTTGAATATTTTAGGGAAAATACCAGATTTACAATACTTGCACTTTAAAAAATTCTTTATTGTTTTAAGAACCTAGACTGATATATATCTTTGTCCTTGGAAAGAACGTGTATCTAAATTCTAATAATTTACTTGAAGAAATGATTCTTGGTTATTTTTTATTTAATCCAGTAAATTTTATAAACTCCACTTAACTCAGTATTTCCCCTGAAACATATTTATTAAAAAAAGCAACTTTCTATTTTACGCTATGGTTCACTTGCTCTACTTTTATGTCTTTTTCAATGAAATAAAGTCTAATGATGCTGCTGATGGTAAATACCCTTCAAATTTACACGTTCATACGGAGAAAAAAGAAGGTATGCTTATTATATTAGAAGGTAAATATACAAAATTTGCAGCTTTATTACATGAACTCTTTTGTAGTCAAAAAGAGGGGAAATCATGAAAGTACTTGGAGTCCAGATGATGTTGATTCCATTGGATCTTAAAATATTCTTTGACTTTTGTTTATAAAGATTGTTCATTGTTAAGAAACTAAGCGGTTAGAACATTTTTCAATCACAGATAACGAGAAACGTTGCAAATTTTAGTGTTATTATTATATTGTATTTTTTCAAATAACGCATGTTACTTTTGTGATATAAAGATACTTTGAAAAACCAGCATTGATGTAGGTAAAACCTCAAACCTCACGTACAAACCTCACACGTAAAGCACATCCAGGTGTCTCACTTTTCCTTATTCCTTCCGAAAAAAAGATAGAGTTCTATAGGGGAAAATATTGAAGAAGAAAACGAAAATTAATTAAATTGTATTCTTTATTGACAATTTTAATATCGCAAATATTTTAAATCAAATTTCAAAATAATCATTTTGACTACATCGATAACCTATCACACAAAAAACTCTTTGTTGAAACCAAGTAGTTTCCCGCATAAAGTGAGATTCAAATCTTAGAACATGTTTGCGTTAGATTCTTTATGCTGTAATTTTTTTGTTAACGCATAATATCAAAACTATAAAAAATTAAAAGACCATATAAAAACTTAGCATAAAGCTTTAGAGCAAAAAACTTACGTGCATATTTTCATCTTAAGACAATAAACACTGGCATAACAACATTTACGCTTGAAACAATTTAGTTTAACCAACTTTTTCATATTTGCACTAGGTTGCACTATTTGCCGTTTGTTACGTGTGAAATATGTTGAGCTCCTTGCAAGCAGTTAATTTAAAAGCTGAAAATTTCTTAAGGCAAAATTTGATTGTACTTCTTTCTTCCCATGAGTAAGGAACGAACAAGTAGCATCAAAAGAATAAAAATTCAACATGCAGTATTTAACGCAAACCATATACGAAGATGCACTGGTGTTATTGCTTTTGTATTACATAGATTTATGAAAAGGCATGTTATGCCTTCGCTTATCATTATGACGAGTAGAAAGAAAACCTATAACTTCAATTTAAGGTATATCTTGCTCAATTCTTTAACTCCAACTCTTTATTAGCTATGTCACTTCGAGCAACTGGGAATTTTGCCCCTGACTGGAAAAAAGTCATCATGCCCTACCAAATCCAGCATCGTATCTCACATTAACATATCAGTTCACAGAGCTTCCTTTGACAACATCACTATTATCTAATCCTCACCTTACACTCCTGATTTAATGATCCATGAAAGCCTCCTGTTCTCAAAGGCAGTTCCATCCCACTCAAAATTTTATAAATATCCCACTACGCTTTGCGTCCATTTTACACTCCATATTAATATCATCACTCATACTTTATACAATATTTTTATATACATATATTGTTGGTGTTTATTTAAAGTAGCATTCTTATTTAATATACTAACTGATGACCGTATACCAAATATGGTGATGTGAACAAAACGTGCTATAGAAGTGTTTCTAGTGAGGTTGATTATTGTTGAGCTATCTTATGTAAAACTCGTATTTTCTTAAATAAAATAAATCGTTCTGAACCATTCGCGATCCACCGACATATTCAACATATATATCATGTTCTTCACACCTTACTGTAATCTAACACTTATAACTACACTTCTAATATATAAATATAAACGCACACTTGATAATTTTAGCTACCTGTCTGTTGATGTCTTGTGTAAAGACGATACGTTACAAATAATTAATAAATTCTTTAAAAAATGGCTTTATTTCGAATTTTATGTTAGGCAACCATCAGTGTTGGCTGATTATTTATAGCTACGTACCGTATGCAGTTCAAATGATGCAAAAATTATGAGTCAATTTCACTGTAGGAAAATGCACTTTGATAAAACTTCCAATATAGATCACACAAATTTGGTGCTAGCATTTAGACACATTACTACTAAAAGCACTATTATATTGTTATCCATAGTTGTACTTAAGTCAACATGACACACCTTTGATGTATTTTAACAAGTCTCATGCTATGTATATTTATATAGTTGATGTAGGATGTCCAACATTTTCTTCTAAAGTAAAGAAGGCTATTAACTTGCCTTTAAGTGTGCGTTTTTTTGTAGAAATTAACAAAATTCTGCTAGATTTTGTCGACGAAATTCCTGATAAATGGAAGAATTTGGCAAGATTTCTAAATGTCAGAGATGCAAAAATAAGAGAAATTGAACTAAATCGTCGTAACGTGATCGGGTAAGGGTTTGAATTGCTAAAGTTTTGGTGGGATACTCGAGAAAACAATCAGTTGTGGTACGAAGAACTTGCTGATGCATTTTGTTAGATCGGGAAAAATCATTTGGCTGAAAACGTTCTTCATAAAGGTGCAAATTTTGCCAAATATTGTTAAACTGAAATTCAAAGGTCATTTACCATTTTTTATAATCGCCATTTTCATGTAAAACTCAGAAGCCAACATTGGATTGGTTATATTGATTTACGCTTTAATAATATACATGAAAAAATTTCTCAGTTCTCATTGGTTAATTAAAAGCAGTGCAATTTATTGTAAATACCAGTGGAAAAAAATGAGAAACACGGTGCAGGAAAAGGGAAATACAGTGCATTTTTTTAAAAAAAATTTGCTCCTGATTGGTTAAATGTATTACGATGTAAATTTTACTGTATAGTTCGGTCCGACACAATTTGTTGTATTTAGGGCCTAAAATTTTGCTAATGACTGTCAGCAAAATTGAATTTACTGTTGGTAAAGTTGATAGTCAAAAACTTAACATACGTTTTATATTGTAACAATATAATTTTTCGTCATTGAGCACTTGAAGTCATTAACCTGCTTTGCCGTTTTTGCCCACATTAGATGCATTATTTGTGTTTCGTTGCTTTGTAGCTATAAACAGAGGTAATTCTCTAAAATATCAAAAACTCTATGTTCTATAACATTGCTTTGTCAACCAACAACAACATCCAAATTTCCAAACATTTAAAGTATTATTGTTGATTCGTAAAGGACAGGATTTGACGCAAAACAAACTCTATAAAATGTTGAATAACTTGGGCAGATGGCACGAGTGTTTGTATATACTCTATACGGCACTGCACACTCGAGGAAACAGCCTTGGCCAGCAGTTGCAAGTAAAACGTTGCGAAAGCCACAACTCTGTTGTTTTTCTGACTTGTATGTATCTTAATTTTTCTCTGTTTCTTTAAGGTGTATATCTACAGTCGCCTTATTGTGTCCGTTTTTCAATTAATAAAAAAACAAAGGTAAGATGTGATGTAGTTGATAGTAAAACGAAAGTTTCCTTATCTTATTTATATTATTTAATACTGCAAATTTTTTCTTCGACTGAGTTTGGCAAATAAGTGTTAATACAAACACCACACAACTTACGCCCCCCAAATGATTTGATTCTTATAGTAAATGGAGAGATTTTTTCATTTACCACAATACCTCCACGCTAGATGTAGGATTTGGGACAGGTTATCACATTAATGTTTTGATTCATATATTTATATACTATCATATTTTTTGCTCAAATCTATCAACTTCCTCAAAAGCAAATCCTATTCCACTGTTTTGTAAAAAATTTTGTTCTTTAGCGGAACCTGCTAAAAATTAAAAAGAAATCCCCTTAAGATTTTCAATTCTTATGGAGTATTCATTGTAATCAAGTACTCCACAAATAACTGCAAGCAAAGGAATAAGCTTGAAAAAATGTAAAATGTTGCACAATATTTCTACGATTTTCTGTGATATTTCTGTAAATTTTTATAAAAGAATTTGAGCAATCTCAAGAAAACGCTGAAACCCAAACTTACTTAGCTGCCCTTAATATCGACGTTCGTTTATTTCGTAAGCTCTTTCCTTCTCAATAGAAAAAAAGCTCCGCGGTGCATGTAATGTAAATATCTAACACCCTTTCAACATTATTTTTTGGTCATTATCTTTTGAAATTTTTAATTTATTTAGTTAATTTTTCAACTGTAACTTTTTGAATTTGTCAACTGAGCAATTTAGCTGTTTTATACCTGCTAATGTGTTGAATTCGATGAATTAAAAATTCGAATGAAAATCCAATACGGGTATAGCATTAGAGACAATACGGGTATAACTACACAGCTATAGAGGCTGCGTTACAAGAATTTGTAAAGTACTTTATGATTTCATAGGTTTTTTACATGTATCATGACATAACAGGAAATTGAAATGAAATAGCTAATGGGAAGCTCTGCATGCACAATTGTTATTTTCATATTCAGATAAAGAATTTTCACATCGTCTTGGATTTTTAACCTATTGTATCTAAAATAAATGATTTGCTTTGATTTTAATTTTATCTCGCTTTCTTCACTTCCTTAGCGCTATCCACTAAATGGCATTTTTTCATCGTTCAATAAATCTCTTGAAACACAAGAAGTTGAAATTTAGACTGAACCGAGTAAGAAGAATAAAGCATAAATTTAAAGTTAACCAAGTTTCATTATTTTAAGAAAATTATAACCACGTACCTATATAATAGCTACAGTGGCTACCAATAAGAGAGCCATCATGCAGCCATATGAGACTAACTCGATCTATTTCTGATTAGTTTTTCTCGCTACACAATTTTGCTGAAAAGACGTTTTTAGATAATGCTCATATCTTGCTCAAAAATACGTTTTGATCGTGATCTGCTTGCATCACAGATGTAATTGTGACATAGTCATTGTCGATCTAAATATAAATTTAAAGTCTTCTGTGATAACGTACATACATCCAACAATCAATTATAATTTAGAGCTTTACTGTATATCCTTGGATCTATGCAATAATGAGTTTAATGATATGGTGGTTATTGTGGCTGTTATTTGGTCAAGGGTTCACAATGAAAATGGGTTGGAATGAAGAACTTGAGTTTTGTGAGGAAGAATGGAAGAAATTTGTGGCGGACAAAATTGAAATCGATTCGAAATGCAACAATATTCGTACACGTTGTTGTGTTGAGGAGAAGAAATATCTTTTGGAGCGATTTAAAATGTTTAGTGAAATATGTCCTTTTGAAGGTAAAGTAAACAACAGTTCAATTTACAGTAAGTACAGAACATCAACTGGCCATGTACTTGGCAAACAATCAGAACACTCATATTACTGAGGTACTGTTTAATTTAAATATGTAATTGAAACCGTGTTCTTAGAAAGTGCAATAAAGTAAGGTACCTAAAGTAAATGGTTTGAACCGGTAAGGTACATGTTAAAGTACTCAACTGATTTGGATACACTAGCTTCACAGCATTGACGCAGAATAATATCTCGTTCATTGTTCCTCTGTCTTGTTACAACAGCAAAGTAATATGACAGTATAGTCAAAAAAAAAATATATATGCAGTTATATGATATAGTCTGTATAGTTATTGTCTATTTGGGTTTAAGGAGGACTTTAGATTCAATGTGAATAGTATGTAACATTTTGTGGCCAAATGAGTGTCACTTTCTACTTGTTCTTTTTCTCTGGACAACCAGCTAAAGATAAAGATTTTTTGTTAGGGATATGTGGATGCAGCCCGATTATTTTTAACTTTACTATTTTGTCATACGTCGATTATGGTCATTCTCCTCTTGTACAAAAAGCATTATACGCAAAATGGAAAGAACCAGAAAACTTCACGTGTTCACATAAGTACATATATGAAAGAATTAAAATGTCATATCTTAAACGTTCTGCTAGCTTTGGAATCAGACAACACAAAATCGTTTACAAGTATGCTTTATACGGTGGACAAAATCACATTTGTTATGTTGTCATCAGCGTGAACGTAAAACGACAAGGTACATGCAATGGCAGTTCATTTTAGTTTCTACTGTGTCAGTTTAATTTATAGTACACCAATGTGATTATAATGCTTCATATTCAGCTTCGTTCAAATCCATACATCACTTTGACCTATATTTAATTCATCATGTACGTATACTCTTAAGTCAATTTCTTTGCAGTTGCAAAGCTAATAGAATACACCCCGGAACAGCCAAACATGTTTAATTCGTAATACATATATTATAATGTAAACCTATAAAAGAGTACGTAAATGCTCAATTCAAGAGCGTGTCTTTGTTATTTTCGGGTTTATTGATTTTATTCATTAACGATCACGTTGGAAGATTTTGGTTGTTTGTTAATGGGTGTGAGGGTTAGGGTTAAGATGTTCATATATTGATCTGTGCTAGTTAAGCTTTGTTATTATAATACAACGGTGATGCAATCTCGATTGTGATTGTCTAAAAGCCTTCAAATAATTTTCAATACACTATCACCTAGAAAAACATTGAATATTACCTGTAGGTGACGAATTTTCTTTATGAGACAACTGTATATACAAGAAATATTTTGGTAGAATCTTCATCGAGACTTTCAAGTGTTTTACTCTGCTCAAATTATCGGGAATATAGACGAAAAAACACCGAAAGTGTTAAACTGTTTGTCCAGACAGTTTTTATCGCGTATTTACAGGAAATAGCCGAAAGCGAACCGGAAAAATTTTTCAATCAGACTGCAGTCAGCGCTATCCCCCTCAGATTTGCTTCGGTAGATATCCAATTGACATCGGTCGGAATATTCTTTTATATCATGCTCAACTTAATCCAAAAATTGTTAAATATTTTTAACGGGAGAATGTTCTCATATCACTGCAGTAGAACTAAATTTCGTTGTATAAGCCCTGGCATGATATTTATTTAAATTGTTTGGAATTTTAAATTGTGCAACTCTGGTATTCTTATTATCAGGAGCACTATTTCACAGCACAACGTAAATGAACTCCACCAGAAAAGAGTGTACAGCTTACAGAGTTAACAACTCAGTTTTACATTGAATTATATAATCCTTGTCTACAAGTTTGAATAATACTAACCTAAATCAACAACTTTTTCTGGTTACAAATTTGTATAAGTGCTTAGATAAACTTCCTTTTCATCAAAAACGAAAGTCATGGGAGTTTATACAGTTGAAAAATCAGGTTCAGCAAACAATCTTAAAATATTTCAAATATTTCAATTGCGTAAACAAACCATACCTGTCGCTTTTCCATCGTGACAGACCGTGCGCCGGAAAATTTATATTAATTGATTTTTTACACTTTTCAACTTGTTTGTAAAATTTTTCAGTCTCCATGCCATTGAACTAAAATACGTGGAACGCTACATCAAGCAAATAATTGAACCATATTTTACGCTACACACGCGAGATTTTACCCAAGACACGCGCGTTTAGTGTTTCGAGTTCCTCTCGCGGAGTAAAAATTGATTGACTACACACTCGTGTCTGGGGTAAAGTCTTGCGTGTCTGGGGTAAAATCACGGCTTTAAAAAATTATTAGGGATTTGTATTACAGGTAGCGTTCCATGTATTTTAGATCAATGCTCCATGCTGGATGCCTTAAATTGTTTTATACGCCATTATTTTCGAAATGACCCTCAACAGCTGTTGGTTTATTTAATTCTTTAGAAAGGTTGAATTTCAAGATGACTTTTTTTTGGAGTGTTTTTTCCTATATTGATAGAATTCAGTATGCTAAATTATTTTTCATAAAGTTATATTATTTTTAAAATATATCTTTTGTAGAGTGTGGTATTTTCAATCAATTTTATCATGTATCATTGTCCTTTTTCAGATACGAATGGATTTTTCATCAAACGTATTCAGTCAGGAAAGTGTGTTGGGGATGATTTAAGCTCTCCCCTCCTGTATACAATGAATTGTTTGAGGAGTCAGCTTATTTTAAATTTTTACAATCTGGCTCCATCAATAGGTCGAATACAACAAGGTGTCTTGTCTTCCGATACGGAATTTATGTGAGGTTATCTGATGGAAATTTTAATGGAGAAAGCAGCACCATCAATACCATAACCCAAACAAATTGGGGTGGTCTATTCTATTCACGCTATAATAAATGCATAGTATTTACAGAAAGTGTTTTCTACCTGAGACTCGACCAGTTCTAGAAATGAAGAAGATCAGGGATTCAATTTTGGCAAGTGAGAATAATATTCATCCAGTTAGCGTAAATATACTTAAACTCTAATTAAAAACCACTGCAAGGCAGCAGATATAGGAATGGCGCCAGTTAAGTCACTGCCATCACACACTTCATTTTTATGAAATCAACTTTTATTTTAGAGGAATTCACAAATAAGCTTCTATAGATATTAATTTACTTATTTTTTGTGTGTCTTTAATAGGCTCAGTAACATGTGATGGAAAAATATATCGGACGTTAGTTGTTCTAATAATCAATATATGGTGATAAAAGTAGCAGAATATCATGGATTGAGAAAAGGAAGCATTTGTGGTTGGAGTTATAACCACAGTTTTAGTGTCAATGTAACATGTGACTTTAAAAATTAATGTGATGGTGAAAGAAAATGTAATGTAACTGTTGATGATAATCGTTTCCCTTCAAATATTTGTCCTGATTTGGAGAAATATCTTCACTTTGAATATCAATGTAACTACGCAAGTATGCCATACAGAAAAATTTGCAATCGTAAGTATTGTATGGGCAGATTATATTTTGCTTATTATTAAAGAGCTTCGGGACAATTTTTGACCTTAATGCGCAATGGTATGGTGCTCATTTTTATACTATGTACGTTATCAATTTAGAAAAGTTGACACAAATTTGAATTTTTGTCTGGTGTCTTTACCAGGCGTGGTTTGTTTATGCAGTTTTATCTCGTATTGTATAATTTAGTGTCTTTTTATAATATGACATTTAAACTTATGTCCTAAATATTTTCATAAGTTTAATGATTTGGTGAATTTTGTGTTTTAGTTTGTTAATGCAAACTTTGTTCATGGAAACATATCTTCTTCCAGTCACTTGATTTATCAAATCCATTTCTTTTTTAAAATATTTTGGTCATTTATGTAGGCCAAAAGTGACATTTACAATTGCATTTGTATTCATATTTTCATGAATTCACACTACAGAATTTTTACATATACTGTATATATATACAAAGATAGATTCATTACAATTCCTATGAATTGGGAAGCTAAACGCAGCGCTCACCTATAAAAAACGGTATTTGTTCTGGTTTCACTAATGATTCACATAATCACTTAGACACATTTTGTTGTGATTCGTGTTTACAACACAAGAGAAAAGTTCTCAGTTCAACTTATTTGCCTGTAGTTCGTTGTCAACTTAAAGATTAAAATCAAAACAGTGCTTACCAACTTTAAGTGTAAATCTATAAGATACTGTGTCCATCAGAATGTGGAAAACATTTCTGGTTAAGTGCTTTCAAACTAAAATTTTTTTTAAGTTAATGTCACCTTCTGTGTTCTTCTGATATTAAAACTCCGTGTATACATTTTATTCATGGACGCGATTTGTCATATTTATGTTCATAAAACCACTTCTAAAAACACAGATTTCACTTTAAGATATGCGCCATTTTTTGTGTGTCTTTAATAGGCTCAGTAACATGTGATGGAAAAAATATATCGGACGTTAGTTGTTCTAATAATCAATATATGGTGATAAAAGTTGCAGAATATCGTGGATTGCGAAAGGAAGCATTTGTGGCTACAGTTGTTGTAGTGTCGATGTAACCTTAAAAATTACTGTGATGGTGAAAGAGAATGTAATATAACTGTTGATGATAATCATTTTCCTTCGAATATTTGTCCTGGTTTGGAGAAATATGTTTACTTTGAATATCAATGTAACTACACAAGTATGCCATACAGAAAAATTTGCAATCGTAAGTATTGTATGGGCAGATTATATTTTGCTTATTATTAAAGAGCTTCGGAACAATTTTTGACCTTAATGCGCAATGGTATGGTGCTCATTTTTATACTATGTACGTTATCAATTTAGAAAAGTTGACACAAATTTGAATTTTTGTCTGGTGTCTTTACCAGGCGTGGTTTGTTTATGCAGTTTTATCTCGTATTGTATAATTTAGTGTCTTTTTATAATATGACATTTAAACTTATGTCCTAAATATTTTTCATAAGTTTAATGATTTGGTGAATTTTGTGTTTTTAGTTTGTTAATGCAAACTTTGTTCATGGAAACATATCTTCTTCCAGTCACTTGATTTATCAAATCCATTTCTTTTTTAAAATATTTTGGTCATTTATGTAGGCCAAAAGTGACATTTACAATTGCATTTGTATTCATATTTTCATGAATTCACACTACAGAATTTTTACATATACTGTATATATATACAAAGATAGATTCATTACAATTCCTATGAATTGGGAAGCTAAACGCAGCGCTCACCTATAAAAAACGGTATTTGTTCTGGTTTCACTAATGATTCACATAATCACTTAGACACATTTTGTTGTGATTCGTGTTTACAACACAAGAGAAAAGTTCTCAGTTCAACTTATTTGCCTGTAGTTCGTTGTCAACTTAAAGATTAAAATCAAAACAGTGCTTACCAACTTTAAGTGTAAATCTATAAGATACTGTGTCCATCAGAATGTGGAAAACATTTCTGGTTAAGTGCTTTCAAACTAAAATTTTTTTTAAGTTAATGTCACCTTCTGTGTTCTTCTGATATTAAAACTCCGTGTATACATTTTATTCATGGACGCGATTTGTCATATTTATGTTCATAAAACCACTTCTAAAAACACAGATTTCACTTTAAGATATGCGCCATTTTTTGTGTGTCTTTAATAGGCTCAGTAACATGTGATGGAAAAAATATATCGGACGTTAGTTGTTCTAATAATCAATATATGGTGATAAAAGTTGCAGAATATCGTGGATTGCGAAAAGGAAGCATTTGTGGCTACAGTTATCCTTACAGTTGTAGTGTCGATGTAACCTGTGACCTTAAAAATTACTGTGATGGTGAAAGAGAATGTAATATAACTGTTGATGATAATCATTTTCCTTCGAATATTTGTCCTGGTTTGGAGAAATATGTTTACTTTGAATATCAATGTAACTACACAAGTATGCCATACAGAAAAATTTGCAATCGTAAGTATTGTATGGGCAGATTATATTTTGCTTATTATTAAAGAGCTTCGGGACAAGTTTTGACCTTAATGCGCAATGGTATGGTGCTCATTTTTATACTATGTACGTTATCAATTTAGAAAAATTGACACAAATTTGAATTTTCGTCGGGTGTCTTCACCAGGCGTGGTTTGTTTATGCAGTTTTATCTCGTATTGTATAATTTAGTGTCTTTTTATAATGTGACATTTAAACTTGTGTCCTAAATATTTTTCATAAGTTTAATGGTTTGGTGAATTTTGTGTTTTTAGTTTGTTAATGCAAACTTTGTTCATGGAAACATATCTTCTTCCAGTCACTTTGATTTATCAAATCCATTTCTTTTAAAATATTTTGGTCATTTTATGTAGGCCAAAAGTGACATTTACAATTGCATTTGTATTCATATTTTCATGAATTCACACTACAGAATTTTACATATACTGTATATATATATACAAAGATAGATTCATTACAATTCCTATGAATTGGGAAGCTAAACGCAGCGCTCACCTATAAAAAACGGTATTTGTTCTGGTTTCACTAATGATTCACATAATCACTTAGACACATTTTGTTGTGATTCGTGTTTACAACACAAGAGAAAAGTTCTCAGTTCAACTTATTTGCCTGTAGTTCGTTGTCAACTTAAAGATTAAAATCAAAACAGTGCTTACCAACTTTAAGTGTAAATCTATAAGATACTGTGTCCATCAGAATGTGGAAAACATTTCTGGTTAAGTGCTTTCAAACTAAAATTTTTAAGTTAATGTCACCTTCTGTGTTCTTCTGATATTAAAACTCCGTGTATACATTTTATTCATGGACGCGATTTGTCATATTTATGTTCATAAAACCACTTCTAAAACACAGATTTCACTTTAAGATATGCGCCATTTTTTGTGTGTCTTTAATAGGCTCAGTAACATGTGATGGAAAAAATATATCGGACGTTAGTTGTTCTAATAATCAATATATGGTGATAAAAGTTGCAGAATATCGTGGATTGCGAAAAGGAAGCATTTGTGGCTACAGTTATCCTTACAGTTGTAGTGTCGATGTAACCTGTGACCTTAAAAATTACTGTGATGGTGAAAGAGAATGTAATATAACTGTTGATGATAATCATTTTCCTTCGAATATTTGTCCTGGTTTGGAGAAATATGTTTACTTTGAATATCAATGTAACTACACAAGTATGCCATACAGAAAAATTTGCAATCGTAAGTATTGTATGGGCAGATTATATTTTGCTTATTATTAAAGAGCTTCGGAACAATTTTTGACCTTAATGCGCAATGGTATGGTGCTCATTTTTATACTATGTACGTTATCAATTTAGAAAAATTGACACAAATTTGAATTTTGTCTGGTGTCTTTACCAGGCGTGGTTTGTTTATGCAGTTTTATCTCGTATTGTATAATTTAGTGTCTTTTATAATATGACATTTAAACTTATGTCCTAAATATTTTTCATAAGTTTAATGATTTGGTGAATTTTGTGTTTTAGTTTGTTAATGCAAACTTTGTTCATGGAAACATATCTTCTTCCAGTCACTTGATTTATCAAATCCATTTCTTTTTTAAAATATTTTGGTCATTTATGTAGGCCAAAAGTGACATTTACAATTGCATTTGTATTCATATTTTCATGAATTCACACTACAGAATTTTTACATATACTGTATATATATACAAAGATAGATTCATTACAATTCCTATGAATTGGGAAGCTAAACGCAGCGCTCACCTATAAAAAACGGTATTTGTTCTGGTTTCACTAATGATTCACATAATCACTTAGACACATTTTGTTGTGATTCGTGTTTACAACACAAGAGAAAAGTTCTCAGTTCAACTTATTTGCCTGTAGTTCGTTGTCAACTTAAAGATTAAAATCAAAACAGTGCTTACCAACTTTAAGTGTAAATCTATAAGATACTGTGTCCATCAGAATGTGGAAAACATTTCTGGTTAAGTGCTTTCAAACTAAAATTTTTTTTAAGTTAATGTCACCTTCTGTGTTCTTCTGATATTAAAACTCCGTGTATACATTTTATTCATGGACGCGATTTGTCATATTTATGTTCATAAAACCACTTCTAAAACACAGATTTCACTTTAAGATATGCGCCATTTTTGTGTGTCTTTAATAGGCTCAGTAACATGTGATGGAAAAATATATCGGACGTTAGTTGTTCTAATAATCAATATATGGTGATAAAAGTTGCAGAATATCGTGGATTGCGAAAGGAAGCATTTGTGGCTACAGTTATCCTTACAGTTGTAGTGTCGATGTAACCTGTGACCTTAAAAATTACTGTGATGGTGAAAGAGAATGTAATATAACTGTTGATGATAATCATTTTCCTTCGAATATTTGTCCTGGTTTGGAGAAATATGTTTACTTTGAATATCAATGTAACTACACAAGTATGCCATACAGAAAAATTTGCAATCGTAAGTATTGTATGGGCAGATTATATTTTGCTTATTATTAAAGAGCTTCGGACAAGTTTTGACCTTAATGCGCAATGGTATGGTGCTCATTTTATACTATGTACGTTATCAATTTAGAAAAATTGACACAAATTTGAATTTTCGTCGGGTGTCTTCACCAGGCGTGGTTTGTTTATGCAGTTTTATCTCGTATTGTATAATTTAGTGTCTTTTTATAATGTGACATTTAAACTTGTGTCCTAAATATTTTTCATAAGTTTAATGGTTTGGTGAATTTTGTGTTTTTAGTTTGTTAATGCAAACTTTGTTCATGGAAACATATCTTCTTCCAGTCACTTTGATTTATCAAATCCATTTCTTTTTTAAAATATTTTGGTCATTTTATGTAGGCCAAAAGTGACATTTACAATTGCATTTGTATTCATATTTTCATGAATTCACACTACAGAATTTTTACATATACTGTATATATATATACAAAGATAGATTCATTACAATTCCTATGAATTGGGAAGCTAAACGCAGCGCTCACCTATAAAAAACGGTATTTGTTCTGGTTTCACTAATGATTCACATAATCACTTAGACACATTTTGTTGTGATTCGTGTTTACAACACAAGAGAAAAGTTCTCAGTTCAACTTATTTGCCTGTAGTTCGTTGTCAACTTAAAGATTAAAATCAAAACAGTGCTTACCAACTTTAAGTGTAAATCTATAAGATACTGTGTCCATCAGAATGTGGAAAACATTTCTGGTTAAGTGCTTTCAAACTAAAATTTTTTTTAAGTTAATGTCACCTTCTGTGTTCTTCTGATATTAAAACTCCGTGTATACATTTTATTCATGGACGCGATTTGTCATATTTATGTTCATAAAACCACTTCTAAAAACACAGATTTCACTTTAAGATATGCGCCATTTTTTGTGTGTCTTTAATAGGCTCAGTAACATGTGATGGAAAAAATATATCGGACGTTAGTTGTTCTAATAATCAATATATGGTGATAAAAGTTGCAGAATATCGTGGATTGCGAAAAGGAAGCATTTGTGGCTACAGTTATCACTACAGTTGTAGTGTCGATGTAACCTGTGACCTTAAAAATTACTGTGATGGTGAAAGAGAATGTAATATAACTGTTGATGATAATCATTTTCCTTCGAATATTTGTCCTGGTTTGGAGAAATATGTTTACTTTGAATATCAATGTAACTACACAAGTATGCCATACAGAAAAATTTGCAATCGTAAGTATTATATGGGCAGATTATATTTTGCTTATTATTAAAGAGCTTCGGGACAAATTTTGACCTTAATGCGCAATGGTATGGTGCTCATATTTATACTATGTACGTTATCAATTTAGAAAAATTGACACAAATTTGAATTTTCGTCGGGTGTTTTCAACAGGCGTGGTTTGTTTATGCAGTTTTATCTCATATTGTATAATTTAGTGCCTTTTTATAATGTGACATTTAAACTTGTGTCCTAAATATTTTTCATAATTTTAATGGTTTGGTGAATTTTGTGTTTTTAGTTTGTTAATGCAAACTTTGTTCATGGAAACATATCTTCTTCCAGTCACTTTGATTTATCAAATCTATTTATTTTTTATAATCTGTTGGCCATTCTATGTAGGCCAAAAGTGACATTTACAATTGCATTTGTATTTATATTTTCATGACTTCACACTACAGAATTTTTACATATACTGTATATATATACAAAGATAGATTCATTACAATTCCTATGAATTGCAAGCTAAACGCAGCGCTCACCTATAAAAAACGGTATTTGTTCTCGTTTCATTAATGATTCACATAATCACTTAGACACATTTTGTTGTGATTCGTGTTTACAACACAAGAGAAAAGTTCTCAGTTCAACTTATTTGCCTGTAGTTCATTGTCAACTTAAAGATTAAAATCAAAACAGTGCTTACCAACTTTAAGTGTAAATCTATAAGATACTTTGTCCATCAGAATGTGGAAAACATTTCTGGTTAAGTGCTTTCAAACTAAAATTTTTTTTATTTTAATGTCACCTTCTGTGTTCTTCTAATATTCAAACTCCGTGTATATATTTTATTCATGGCCGAAATTTGTCATATTTATGTTCATAAAACCACTTCTAAAAACACAGATTTCACTTCAAGATATGCGCCATAATCACAATTAAAGGAAAAATAATTTTGATTTGTGTAGTTATGGATGTACGCCTGTCTAAGTCAAATGTTCCGAACGAAAGTGTCGTGAATGTTATTACCAAGTATAGAAACTTCACCATTTGCAACAAAGGTCTTTTGCACAAAATAATGACGATTATCTGTAAACAACTTGGTTATCCTACCGCAGCATCTGGGGGAGGCTCAATGTCACTATCATCTTTGATGCATCAATCGTTTATACCTGGAATTGTCAAATGTGGTGCGCAAGTGAACGATTTATCTCAATGTGCCATCACTCAAAATAAGGATGGCTCTCAATACTCGTACGTTACATGTAAGCATTCTCATTCAATTTTTTGAATGTATTAACGTATTGCAGGACACATTTGTATGACGTTAGAAAAAGATTTTTAGCGAAGAATTTAAAGCTGGATTTCCACTTCCCGGTAAGGACGGTAACGGTAAACGGTAAACGGTACACATGAAGGAAATTTTCCGTTTATTAATTTCCTCTTGTTTTTGCGGACATTTTAAAACAGATGCGCATCATCATGGCTAAACTTAGAACAAAAACATTAATGATGCTGTTGCTATTGAAAAGAAGAATGCAACTGCGAAAAAAATACAAAAAGAGAATGTGGGTTCGAAGAATATTTCAGGAAAGAAAGCAAAAAGGAGAGTTTCACCTTCTTGTAGAAGAGATGAGACTTTTTGATAGGGAATACTACTTCAAATACTTCAGGTTGTCCGTATCCCAGTTCGAAGAACTTTTGCAGCTTGTTGCTCCTAAAATCGCCAAGTGCAGTGAAAAAAGAGAACCAATATCTCCGAGTGAGCGGCTCTCAGTTACTCTAAGATACTTGGTCACTGGAAACTCTCACGCTTTGCTGTCAAGCAATTTCCGTATATATCCTACAACTATCAGCCGTGTTATAAGAGAGACCACGGCAGCTATTTGGGATGTTCTTTCACCCATTTACGTTAAGTGTCGCGAAAGTGAAGTCGAATGGAAGAACATTGCGAAAGATTTTAATCGCAAATGGAAATTTCCACATTGCTTGGGGGCAATTGATGGCAAGCATATAGTCATGCAAGCTCCAGAAAGATCAGGGTCGAGTTTCTTTAATTATAAAAAAACTCACTCAATTGTTCTTTTAGCAGTGTGCGATGCACAATACCGGTTCACCCTCGTAGATATCGGAGACTCGGGCAGAAATAGTGATGGAGGCGCTTTTTCTAGTAGTAATCTAGGATATGCAATAGAACATGATCTTTTGCATCTACCCAGAAATGAGAAGATACCTGGATTAGAAAACAAATTTCCTTATGTTTTTGTTGGGGAAGAGGCATTCCGTTTGTCTGAGCAACTGATGAAACCCTACCCGCGCGAGGTACTCTCTTTGAAAGAGAGGATTTATAACTATCGTTTGTCAAGAGCTAGGAGGGTCATTGAAAACTCATTTGGCATAGCTGCTGCACGTTTCCAAATTTGGCGACGCCCCATTATTGGTAAAGTTGACTTGGTCGTTTGTACAACAAAAGCAGTTGTGGCATTGCATAATTACTTGATGCATGGCAAATCTTTTGAGGCAAGTAGGTACTGTCCTCCAGGTTTTGCAAATACCGAAAACAGCTATGGATTTAAAAAAGGAGCCTGGCGCAACGAAGTAGAAGCATTTCATAGCACAGCTGGGTTGGCTGACATTCAACAACTTGGTTCTAATAATTACAGTAAAATAGCCAAGAGAATATGAGAAAATTTTTGTGATTATTTCATGTCTGAGGCAGGGCAAGTACCATGGCAATTGAAGCATGTCACAGCAACACATGAATAATACAAGTTATCTTTAACTGGGTTTGACAATTGTTGGAGCATTCACTAATGAAACATGTACATATGAGTAAAGTAGAACATATATAATGTGCAGAAAGTTTGTAATTTCTTAAGTTTTAAGTATGCTAGTTTTCTAATAAACTTGTATAAAAATACCCACATATAACCAGAATTTTAATGCTCTAATCGTGATAAGGCCTTCAGAAAAAGCAACTGTAATTATAAATGACAAAACAACAAGCATCAGTTGAAAACCAATTTACCTTCAACAAACACACTAGAATTAAATAAAACAAGAACTTAAACATCAAAATGGTATTTATAGTTCCAGTTAATGCAGTTATATAGCATGCAGTTAATCATTCATCACCAATGTCAAAGCTCATTAATACCTCTAAAAGTTTGATTCTAGCTCTCTTGTTCTTCTTAGATGAGAGTTGTTTTAAAGGTGCCACCAGACTTTTACAAAAAAGTAAATCAGAATCATTTGTGTTTTCACCAGATTTATTAATGTCTTAGACTATTGCTGCAGTAAGAGCTGCATTCAAAGGGTCATCATCTTCTTTTCGTTTTCGAGTTTTCGTTGAGGCTGCTATGATTTCTGAGGATGGTTTGGGCTTGGGTGATGGATTTCTCATTCCACGTGCAGCAATTTCTATTTCATTGGAACTCCCTGAGGATACTTGAGTTAAATCAAATGGTGACGATGATCGACTATCTGATAGTCTGGGTACATTCACATTGCTTGTTGATTTTCTATTAGAAACACTATCTCTAAGGAAACTCAATTCAACAAAGAAGGCACATGTGGGTAACTTTTTTGCTTCTGCTCCAGATCGTGATTCCAATTCTCTCTTTTTCAGACACTTTCGGAAATTTTCTCTTAACCTATTGAACTCATTTTCTGCTTCAATTGCTGAAAAACATATGGGTAAAATAACTAATTGTTGTCAAAAGCATACCAAGTCACAAATTTAAAAAGAAAGCACAACACAACATGTGATGTGCAATACTCGCAATATTTTTATACACATCTGGTTTAATAGCAAAAAAATAAAAGCATCTGCAAATGAGTTTATGAACAAAATATCAATATCATCTGAAGTTTTGCTATGGACTTTACATAACTAGGACAAAACTAACAATATGGTTTTTTAGATGTAATGCTAGGTATGCAAACACACAGGTATAAACACATGAAATGGCATGTAACAAAGTAAAAACATGAGAGATTTTTCATTTCTGGTTACCACAATAAACATGATAAGCTTCCTGTTTGTCATTTGTCAAAGGATGCTTTGTCATTGATGCATATTTAGAGACTGTACCTTGCACATGGAGTTGCTCTGAAATTTTTAACCATGCTTGTTTCTTCATAACACTGTTCTTGAACCCTTTGGAGTTCAAATCCCATAGGCAAAGATAATTCCTCACTTCATCAATCAAATTACTACTGAAGTGATTCTGACTTTGTAAAGAGTACTCGCTCTCTTCGTTATGTCCAAAATTGTCTATCGTATTATTACTGGTTTGGCTAAGCAGTTGCTGCTCCTTGGAAACATCTTCAGTCGCCGTCGTCTTCTGCATTATATCTTGATCCAATATATACGTGGATTCTTCAGATCCAGTAAATATTTGGCTACCATAATAATTGACATGCGGATTGCTTCTCTGAAAACTTAATAATTTTGTGAGCATCCATTCAGTATTATCCGCAATCTTGCTACTACCCAGGAGTCAATTTTTGTGGTATAATTTGTTGGCTAAAAAGTGAAACGGTATGAATTCCGCGGAAAAAAGTGGATTTGACTTCAACTTTTAAAATTGGAAAGCAGTACGGTGTGCATACCGTTTTGCGGTACTACATTTTGTACTGCGCATGCCTGTACCGTTTGCCGTTTACCGTTTTCCGTCCTTACCGGGAAGTGGAAATCCAGCTTAAGGAATTAATGTGTTACTTTTGTGTTCTCAACTTATATCTGTCTATTGTTAAGCATCATGACTTACCTCTATCATCAAGACTTACATCTGACATCGTAGTGTCACTGTATTTTACGTTGACTTGGAGAATTTCACAATTCTTCTTTTACATAACAAAAGAAATATAGCATCACAAAATATAAATGATTGCTACTCTTAAATAATAAATAATTAAAACAGGATTGCTGCGAATACTGAGGATTAAATTAATTTTAATCTTGCTACTTCATTTCGTTCTTCAAAAATATCCAATTGTCATTGCTCTGCAATACGATTGACGTTCCCTCTTTAATGGAATTTAAATTGCTAGAGTATTGTTGTTATTTGACAAGATACTTACGGTTTCTTGTCATAGCTGGCTTGATTCCAACTGGAATTTAACCTTATTTAATAAAAGCATGCAAAATCAGTCGTATTCCTCCAATATATCTTGTGCTCTTTTTCTTTCTTAAGAAAACAGTTTTTAATTTTTCCAATTTTACGTGAATGGAGAACAATATGAGAGTGCACCATTGCTCTCTATCAAATCAAACCAGTTCTAATGTTATAATGCATTTCAACCAAATCTTTTTCTACTTAAGGTCATGTTTGTGATAATCCTCTATTAAAAAACGCAGAAAAATTCCCAGATTCTTGGTTTACTGCCTTCCCAAAGAGTCGTAGTGCTGCTAAAGCAAGAATATCCAGTGGTAGTTCATGGTGTGCTCCTGCTGCTAATGGCAAACATTACCTTCAACTGAATTTTCCGAGTCTTTATACAGTTAACGTTATCACTATCTTTAGAGACAGTACAAGTTCAAGCTTTGTAACTAAATATCACTTGCAGACAAATATTACTAAATATTACTAAATATTAACTAAATATTACTTGCTTACAAACGTTGATGGTGTAAACTGGAAGTCCCAGAAGGTAACGGTAGAATTTTCGAATTTGTATATTATAAATTTAAGGGGAAATTTAAAAAAGGAATGAAGTTATAAACCAAGTAAACTTTTAAATTGCTATTTATATGTAAACTTGTGTGCAGATGTTGATTCAGTGGTGTAGCCGGCACGCAAAATTGCTGGTTCTATGTAAATTTCAGATCATTATCATTATTCATTTCTTTAGAGATCTATTGTTTTTACAGTTAGTGAGCTCTGAGAAATTTACATATAGCACGACCAAATTTGTGGGCTAGCTACGTCATTGTGTTGATTGTCTTGGTTACTCCTGCATTACGAAAGACTCTTGCATTTCATTATAAAGTTTAAATTGTAGCTATGTGCATGATTTGAAGAGATACATAGAAAATGCATAAACTACTCTCCTCTGGACATCGTTAAACAAACCTTTCTTTTCTCTAACCTTGCTCTGCAAATACACGAAAATCAATTTTTTTGTTTTATTCCAGATTTATCTAGGAAACAAAAATGGTTACAATGATGCGGCTATAGAAAAGTTTTCTGGTGACCTTAAATCCAAAGCTTTGCGAATCTTTCCATTGAAATTTGTTGGTATAAATTAAACATGAGTTAGTTGACAAAACAGAACAATTTTCCATGAAGGCTGAAGTGTTAGTTTCTTTCTCTGTTGAAATAAACTTATTGAAACAAGCCTTTTCAACATGCAGTTAAGTTTAACACGTGTTATTGGAGAAAAAGCAGAACACTTATTTCACTTAGGGGCTACAAATGGTTCAAATTGTAGATTTTTCTTTTATCGTGCAGACTTACTCCCAGACAAATCAACAGATCTCATTGCAACCAAATCTGCATCGACGTACCTCGAGATATCATGGAAACATCCAAAAAAAACTGGTGTAAAACTTGGTACAAATATCTCGAATTCTCTTACAAGATATCGATTGATTTTGCTGAAGGATACTATGATTGTTTTTGATAAAACTCTGGAGGTAACTGACAAAAAACCGTACAACATTACGAATCTTGTTCCTTACGCAACGTATAAAGTTAATGTAACCGCTGGCAATTCTGAAGGCTTTGGTAGATCAACTACAGCTACTTTTAGAACTGCTGAAGATGGTGAGTTCATATCAGTTTTGTGTATACATATCGGCTGTTGTTGCATTGATGGTGTTATTGCCATAGACGACTTTTGAAAGCTCAAATCTTTTCTGGTCGATATTTATTTCAATCATGTTTTTTATACTGTATTATATTTAAGTTAACAATGACAGTGTACACTTGTTAGGACTTCTTTCTAAAGTGTATTTAATATTTTATATAAATCTTTAAAACAAATGTTTTATTTTTGTTTAGTTCCCGAAGGTCCACCTTTAAATGTTCAAATTGTCGCCTTAAGCAGTTCATCGTTATCAGTTACGTGGGAGCCACCAGACAAGAAGAAAACAAATGGAAAGATAGTCAGTTACACTGTTTGTATTACACATTTGGAGAATGAAACCTGTTCAATGAAGTATATGATCGAGGAACAGCGTTTGGACATAAATAATGTGAAACCAGGGACAAAATATTATGTTCGTGTTTTAGCTTCTACAATAGTGGGATCTGGATGTTACAGCAATGTTACATGGGTATTTACAAATGGATGTAAGTTGTCTATGGTTTATGCACAGGTTTGTTTAAGATGATAAATTTATTCAAGTTTATTTATTTAGTGGCACCTGAACTGTCCACCAAGCAGATTGGAAATACGTTGACTTATTTGTTGCAAAATCCAAATTTGGAATATCGGTAACTATGTATTTTACTAGAGCAAATTATTGTAAAAAAAACTTAAAGGAACTTAAAAGTATTTTTTGAGTTTTTCGGATTCATGGCTAAGTATAGGACAGTTGGTTTCATGTGGGATCGAGGTAGTCTAAATATCTCTCTGGCGAAAGCTTTGATGACTCGTCGCTTTTCTTTGGCATTGCGGATGCATGCATAACATATATTTTAACCATTAACAAAAGCAGAGGTTATGCATGTATTTTAAAAAATGTTTTGCCTTAAATTTGCAGATATTTCTATGTAGTCGCGATGAAAAATGTCACAGAAGAGAGTCGACTGCCTTCTAACTTTAAAAACACAGACTTAGTGACTTATTCTAAGGCCATATCTTCCACACAACCAATGCCGTATATTGCTGCTGTAGTCTCTCGCAGAGACTTTAAGCCTGATTTTACACTTGGTCATGGTGAAAACACAACACGGCGTTCCAATGGTGAAAATTATTATAATGGCCCGTTGAAGATTGGCACTAGCTACAAAATATTTCAGCGCGTTTTCATAAATGATCAGGTGCGACCATTTATTTACGTTTTCATCAGCATTGATTGCTGCAATTTTTATTCAAATATAAATGTTCACTTCGTTTCAGGGTGATTATTATTCCACTGACTGGAGTCCAGTGGCAGCAACTGCCCAAAAGCACAAGTCTTCAGTAGCATAAGGAAGTTTATCGATGTCTAAAGTGCAATGCTTCAAGATCATTGCAAATTTCAGTATAGTAAAATGCCTGAAAATTTTTAACAATGAATATACATTTTGTTTGATGATACAACCGATTTAATTCCTACAAATAACTCCCTTAGTGATTTGTGTACCTCTTCTCTAATTTCGTTGCGTTCCAAACCTAATTTATACCATAAATAAATCATGAATAGTTAACAAGGATGAATACATGAGGTGTGAGAGCGGTTACACCCTCAGCTTTACAAAAATGATCGTTGAAAGACAATATTTGTTGGTAATGTTATGATTTGTCATTCAATTTTATCTTGTAGACGGTGGAAAAATTGGAGCCATTGCTGTTGCAGTTGTAGCTGCAATTTTGCTCATTATTTTTGTCATATTGGTCATTCTTTTTGTTAGGATCAATTCAAACTCTGCTACAGTGCAGTGAACTGCGTATTGTAGTTATTTGACGGCTACTAAAAGTTCTCAAAATGGGGAAGTTGAATTTTTTCATGAAATTATTAGACGTTTTCTGAAATTTAACGTACTATAGAAGAATATGATTAAGCATAGAATTTTATTTCCTTTTAACTATAAGAGTGAACGAGAGTGAATGATTCTGAAGAGTATTTGAAAACAATTTGGAACATAACATCAAATTTTTAGGCTAAGGATGTAGTCAATATTTGAAATAGGATAATAGTTGTAATACTTTTTATCTAAGTACATTAAATAAGAAATAAAGTTAAATTACAAACAAACAGTGGCGTAGCATGCTCAGTAATTTATTTAAATAAGTTGGGGGGAACGGGATTTTCATTCATTCATAATTTTGGAGTCAATGGAATATATATGAATATGTACACACTGTCATCTCATTAATTTACCTGACGTAAGAAACAGGGAGTTTAAGTGGAAGGAGTTTACTTTGTTACCAACTATATTTGTGTTAGTATAATGTTGCTGTTCTTGTTCTTTCGTGTCTTCGCTTATTATCCCCAATATAATATTCATTTTAAACTCATTCAAAGTTATCGAGTTAATTGAATTTTCTGATAATTTGATTGCTAGAGTGCTAGGAGCATTATGTTTGGCTGTAGACTAGAGATCAACGAAAAAAAAAGAAATGGGTTTGAAGCTACCAGACAAGATTTTACAAAACAAGAAAAATGCATATGATCGCCCAACACGTCCTTCTCTCCTATAGTTTTTTGTCAACCCCTCTCCTTGTTTTTCAACACTGGCCAGAACACCCACCAAAAGACTGATCTAGGTAGTCGGTACTAAACTTCCGCAACATTAAACCCGTTTAAAATTTATATTTGCGTTCGTATTATGTTTGAATTATGAGTAAAATATCAAATTGTTACAAATGCAGAAGTACAAAATATCATTCAGAGATTCTCGACTCTAGATATGAAAAATATAGCCAACCCTATCACGAGTTTCTCCGATTCATTAGTTTTTATTAGTTGGAACACACACCAACGATTATGATGTATGAGCTTTCACTTCCTAAGAATATGAGCAGACGAACCCCAAGTAAAACAGTTTCTTCTCGTCATGTAATATCAAGTAGTCTATTGATATCTTCAAGTAATCACGTGTTATTTATAGTTCAGTTGCTTTTTTTGTCCGCCTCCTGCTCACTTAATGTTTATTAAGTTCATCTTTGTCATTCATTTATATCCTACAAACGGTAGAAATGATGGTGCTTTTACTGGTGCAGTTGCTGCTCCGGGTTGCTTTCTATTCTTGTCATATTGGCTGTTCGTTAGGATCAATCTAAACTCTTGTACTCGAACGTGCAGTAAAATGCGTGTTGAAGTTATTTAACATCTACTGACAACATTTGATGAGAGTGAATTCTTCACTTGCAATTCAGCCATGTTGGCGGTTTGATAGAGATGAATATTTTATTTGTGTTATTGTTGGCACCAGCCGATTTGTGCGAGCAACATTGTTTAGTAAATCTCAAGAGAATGGTTGCAAGTCAGGAATAGTTCTGAATTGAAATTTAGTACTACAGTTTCTCTAAATTACATTTATACGAATAAATTAGAAAACCAAGAATCACAGGCAATTTGATATGTAGATCAAAACGTTTTTGGTATGATCTGTGGTTTTATATTTGATATCTTCAAGAAGTGAATCTTATAGTTGAATTCCAGATATCAAAATTGTGAGTCGCCTTATCTGATATGATCAATGTAAAAAGTTTTAATATACTTTTGTCTGGTGATTAGTGTCCTTTAAAAAGTGATCTCATGTTGAAACTTAAGTCATTATGTGTTCCAGTCTTTGTGTGGAGTGATTTTTTGTATAGTTACAATTGTTGTATAGCTGTATATAAAAATTAAAGTCAAAGTAATCCAGTCCAGTATCTTCATTCCATACTAGTTACTTTTATAATTGTGTGAAGATAGTATTTTTAGCAACTGGTCTTTTGATACTTCTTTGTTGTGCTTTTACACCATTTGTTCATCATTAAAGAAGATTCAACATTCAATTACAGGCTTCGACATACCTGCAATAAAACAATAAAATATTCATTATCTTAAAGGAAAAATCAGAAACACGTGCCTACAATCAATACGTTTCTATAAGAGAAAAGTCAGAATCATTCGGATAAAAAGAAACTTCTATAAACATATTTAAATCTCTGCTTTAAATAATTGGTTGCAAATAAATCAATACACTTCCCTTTCATAGAAAGTTCATATGTATATGTTTATGCAGTAGCGTAGTCAGTCTGACTTTACTCTCGCTATGCAAATATTTTTTGCATTTAATAAATACGACGAGTTGTTTTAAAATAAATGTGTTTCAACATCTTATGATTGCATCTTCAGTATAATAAGAATATTATGTATATGCATGATAAATTTATATAAGAGTAATATGATGCAGTGATACAATTATCAGTAGATTATAAATATTAAAATGAAATACTGGTTGGAACTAATTTATGAGTGTAATTACAGGCTGAATATGATGTTAAAACGAGAAACGTGAACGTTGAAATTACGATTAGTTTTTTTAATATGAAATGCTTCTTTTAAAAAACCCCGTAGTATTTATTAAATGCGCAATATCAATAGTGTTTTACACAGTTGCGGCAAATATTTTTGTGTTTACTGACCGTAAGAACAATAGATTTCTAAAAAATACTTCTAGTGTATTAACTTCTAATTAGACAAATTAAAAGTAAATTTGTGATTACCAAATTTATGATCACTAATCCTTCAAAATTTACAAAGCGGAGTAAACCTGCAGACTGGTTACGTTACTGTGTTTATTTAAATGTTTGCTTTATCTTAATTAATGTTCCTTCCTTATATTCCTAATTGTTTTGCAGAATAAATAAGTGGATTTCTGCTCTTGATTGTTCCTTCGTGTTTTTATGATTACATATTTTGTTACATTTATTTATTTTTTGCTTCTTAGGATATTAAAAAAGGTCGTATGGTCCGTGATTCATGACATATCGTGGCCGGTTCATGATGTTCATAAAGATGTTCACAGTATGGTGGAAATTTAATCTGAAGTTGAAGATTCATAGAGAGCTGCTGATGTAAATGGAAAAGTGCACTTTAACATGTGTCGCTGGAATATTAGCAGTTGATTAACCCCGTCGCTCTCGTGGTTATAATTCAGTGATTTAAGGTTTGAGTGAAGATCTCTACATGAATTTTGCAACAAACACGAAAATATTTATTTTCTTAATCCAGTGACGGAGCAGGTCACCGTGGTACCTGTATTGATATATCAAATCGTGTGGACCAAGCCAAAACTGTCCAAGCAATTAATGCGTTCCAATGCATCCAGCAGATTCAGAATAGACACCACAGTTCGTTGAAACAGCGGTACGCTTGTCTTTATTATTCTCTTAAGCCCCAATTGCATCAACACCCAGAGCTATTCTTATCAATGGACTATGCAGCCTCTACAAAATAGACCATAAAAAATTTTGCTGTTATTGACTTCATGTTTGAAAAGGTATTGTGATGTTTACAAACACTTTGACACATTTATGATTAGGTCGAGTGATTTTTCGATAAATTGATTTATCGAAGTTATTGTCATGCTTGATGACTATCATGTTATTGCTTTGCTTGTATGTACATTTAGCTTTATAGAACCCAAATGATTCTTTTTATTTCCGGAAAACGTAGCTCAAACATAAATTTACCAAATTAATACGATATAGTAAAGTACAAAAGCTAGACTAAATCACTGATATTTATGTATTGATGCGCTAAACAATGAAATTGCATGCTTTGCTTGCGCTGTGTGCCCGCTGCATTTGTGTCATCCGGTAACTGTTATTGAATATTGAGTAACTATCATAAAACTTTAGTTACTTTGTTGATTATGTTTAGTTCATTTTATTGATCAAAATTTAAAAACAATGTGGTGCATTTTGTTATCGTATTTATCGCGATATTATCGAATATCGTAATAATTTCCTAAAAAATAATCATGAGCTGATTTTTTTGATAATCGTCCAACGCTATTTATGATCATCGTATGTTGTATGGAAGTTACCGAATTTCTACTTTAAATATCGTGCTTGTATTCGAACTTTGCTCTCAGTAACGTATAATACCCTCATATTTGGTTGTGCTTTAGAAATCATCTGCATTGTTTCTTTAGAAATCTGTTGTTTTAATACAGTTAGTAAAGATTATTTACATAGCAAGACAAATTTGCAGGCTTTCTATGTTAAATGGTGCACGGTTGTTTTCGTTGCAGGGCTTGACATTTGGTTACCTGCAAGGAAAATTTTCCCAAATGCTTCGAAAATCTGGTCTGTAAGGACGTGTGGCTTAACCCACGTACGAGGCATTGCAGCTGCGTTCCGTTTATCGCAAACGTTCACTAGCCTCACGTGTGTATATTTCATCAAATCTTTGTTTTCGAAAATCTTTTTCAAATCTTTGAAAGTTTTTTACAAATCTTTAAAACCTTTAAAATGTTTTAAAAACTTTTGTTTAGCCTTTGAAAATTTTTGTTTTACTTGAATCTACGAGATAGTTACTCATCAAAAAAGGCTTTCTTTCCCGCGTATTTGACCAAATAACACGTCGCTTCCTCGACAACACCTTTTTCCCCAAAACCTCCCGTCATTACTGCTCACAAAAAATCCATCTACTTCTGTCTTTTTTCATAGGTATGCATTCCATTCAAATACACACATAAATAATCGCCTTAGTGCTGCCGCTTTTCCGCATGTACTAATGAAATTTGTTTTCCACCTTTCTTAACGTATATTTTCTTTCTCCCCTTTAAGGAAAAAGTTCTCAAACCTCAGAGATTAGATGTTGTGTGTTCATTAAAGTGTTATAGCTGTACGTATTGTATGTGGGTCAAATCACACGTCATTTACACATCGGCTTTTCGTAGCACATGAGAATATCTCCATTTGAAGGTAACCAAACGTAACGCCTAGCGTTATTGAGCATTTTTGCTAACATAAACATGTCTGGAGATACCCCCAACATGGACGATTTTGATAGAATTTCCTCTTCTCACGATTCATACAAACTCTTTCTTAATGAGAACCTCATAGTCACTAGCTACAAGTCTTCACTTATCGACAGTATAGTAAAAATACAGTAGAGCAAGTCCATTGAATTTTTTGTGCTACGTATATCTCATTGCGCGTATGATTACTATATTGGCAGCAAGTAAATTGATTTTTTTTTAGTAATAGGAGTGCTGAGCTGGCTAACGGCAGTCTGTTATCTAATTATATCTACAGCAGAAAGTTTCTTAGCAAAGTGGACCTTTGGTATGTTTCCTTTACTATGACTTAACATCTGTCCAAGGCAGTTCTATTCAACTCTTTTAATTTCAATATATTTTGCTTCCTATTTTCGTAATTTATATAATCTATTTGACACCGTCTCATTTTGTATTCTAACACCTTATGCAAATATGATTATTTCTCATAACATCCTATTAAGCATGCAATGCTACCCAACCTTCCGATTTGTTAAATACGGCCTTATAATGCAGCGGATGTTGAGTTTTATTTTATGTTTTTCTACGTGTTTCTGTGCACCTGTTCATTTCAGAATTGTTTTATTATTTATGAGGAATATTTACTCTAAACGTCCCTAATGAATATTTTGATGAGAAAATACGTCAGTAAACGTCCCTGTGATAGCAAGAGGCCACCATGTTATTACATAGTTAAATGCTGTTAATGACCTAATGTTGACAATGACCATATACAGTCTCTCAGATCTATAACAATTCAAACCAGCGGTTCATAACAGGTAATTTTACAAACAAATCTAAACAAATTTCGAAAAACAAACAGCAAAAAATTTCAAAACAAAAAGAAAACAGGAGAGAATGCCAACTATTGCAAAACAGCGAGGACAAAAAAGTAAAGAAAGGCTTAGTTTCAGTTTAAATAATACTTTATAATAAACTTTTATTAACTTGTTTATTCGCTCTTCGAGCATGCGAGGTCTGCATATAAAGAATTAATTGATGCGATATTTCTCTTTAAAGAGTTCCCAATTAGTAAAGGCCTTATATTACAACTAATTTTAATTTGGTATTTCAAAATTTATGTGTTTCTACATGTTTTCCTTCCACCTGTTCACATCAAAACGTAGGCTTAACAACAACACTTTACAGCTAATTCACATAGCTAAGTTACGAAGAAAATTGTGAAAATTGCCTAAATTGAAATGATTCTTCTTGTTGTAGTAGACTTTGATAATATCCAACAGAGTGGCTGTCCAATGCATCAATTAGAAGTTTGTTTTTTACCAAATTAAAATTAATATTGAAATGTTAAATTGTTGTTCTTAATTCTTTACCGCTGAACCCAATCACTTAAACCATTTTTCATTCATAAGTCATTATTCTTGAAGCGATGTTTTTCTTGTCATTTCTCACTGTATTTTCGCTGATGTCGTATTGTGTCTATTGTTTAAACAAACACCTGTAGGCAATAAAGTTACAGCTGGTATTACGATGTAAATTTTACTGTATAGTTCAGTCCGACACAATTTGTTCTATTTAGGGCCTAAAATTTTGCTAATGACTGTCAGCAAAATTGAATTTACTGTTGGTAAAGTTGATAGTCAAAAACTTAAAATACGTTTTATATTGTAACAATATAATTTTTCGTCATTGAGCACTTGAAGTCATTAACCTGTTTTGCCGTGTTTGCCCACATTAGATGCATTATTTGTGTTTCGTTGCTTCGTAGCTATAAACAGAGGTAATTCTCTAAAATATCAAAAACTCTATGTTCTATAACATTGCTTTGTCAACCAACAACAACATCCAAATTTCCAAACATTTAAAGTATTATTGTTGATTCGTAAAGGATAGGATTTGACGCAAAACAAATTCTATAAAATGTTGAATAACTGGGGCAGATGGCATGAGTGTTTGTATATACTCAATACGGCACTGCACACTAGAGGAAACAGCCTTGGCCAGCAGTTGCAAGTAAAACGTTGCGAAAGCCACAACTCTGTTGTTCGTCTGACTTGTATGTATCTTAATTTTTCTCTGTTTCTTTAAGGTGTATATCTGCAGTCGCCTAGTTGTGTCCGTTTTTCAATTAATAAAAAAACAAAGGTAAGATGTGATGTAGTTGATAGTAAAACGGAAGTTTCCTTATCTTATTTATATTAATTAACACTGCAAATTTTTTCTTCGACTGAGTTTGGCAAATAAGTGTTAATACAAACACCACACAACTTACGCCCCCCAAATGATTTGATTCTTATAGTAAATGGAGAGATTTTTTCATTTACTACAATACTTCCACGCTAGATGTAGGTCTTGGGACAGGTTATCACATTAATGTTTTGATTCATATATTTATATACTATCATATTTTTTGCTCAAATCTCTCAACTACCTCAAAAGCAAATCCTATTACACTGTTTTGTAAAAAATTTTGTTCTTTAGTGGAACCTGCGAAAAATTAAAAAGAAATCCCCTAAAGATTTTTAATTCTTATGGCGTATTCATTGTCATCAAGTACTCCACAAATAACTGCAAGCAAAGGATTAAGCTTGAAAAAATGTAAAAAGTTGCACAACATTTCTACGATTTTCTGTGATATTTCTGTAAATTTTCATAAAAGAATTTGAGCAATCTCAAGATAACGCTGAAACCCAAAACTACTTAGCTGCCCTTAATATTGACGTTCGTTTATTTCGTAAGCTCTTTCCTTCTCAATAGAAAAAAAGCTCCGCGGTGCATGTAATGTAAATATCTAACTCCCTTTCAACATTATTTTTTGATCATTATCTTTTAAAATTTTTAATTTATTTAGTTAATTTTTCAACTGTAACTTTTTGAATTTGTCAACTGAGCAATTTAGCTGTTTTATACCTGCTAATGTGTTGAATTCGATGAATTAAAAATTCGAATGAAAATCCAATATGGGTATAGCATTAGAGACAATACGGGTATAAGAATACAGCTATAGAGGCTGCGTTACAAGAAATTGTAAAGTACTTTATGATTTCATAGGTTTTTTACATGTATCATGACATAACAGGAAATTGAAATGAAATAGCTAATGGGAAGCTCTGCATGCACAATTGTTATTTTCAAATTCAGATAAAGAATTTTAACATCGTCTTGGGTTTTTAATCTATTGTATCTAAAATAAATGATGTGATGTAGTTGATAGTAAAACGGAAGATTCTTTATCTTCGATGCTTTGTTAACATTTATTATAGCAAAATTTTTCTTTGACTTAGTTTGGCAAATAAGTGTTAATACAAACACCCCACAACTTCCGCCCCCCAAATGATTTGATTCTTATAGTAAATGGAGAGATTTTTTTATTTACCACAATGGGGACAGGTTTCACATTAATATTTTTATTCGTATAATTATGTATTATCATATTTTTCGCTCAAATCTCTCAACTACATCGAAAACAAACCCTATTCCACTGTTCTGTAAATATATTCGTTCCTTCAGCGGAACCTGCGAAAAATTAAAAAGAAATCCGCTTGAGATTTTCAATTCTTATGGAGTATTCATTGGCAGTTAGTACTTTACAAATAACTGCAAACAAAGGAATAACGAAAAGCTTGGAAAAATGTAAAAAGCTGCAAACCATTTTAAAGATTTTCTGTGATATTTCTGTAAATTTCTATAAAGGAATTTGAGCAATCTCAAGATAACGCTGAAACCCAAAACTACTTAGCTGCCCTTAATATCGACGTTGGTTTATTTCGTAAGCTCTTCCTCCCCAATAGAAAAAAAGCTCTATGATTTCATAGGTTTTTTACATGTATCATGACATAACAGGAAATTGAAATGAAATAGCTAATGGGAAGCTCTGCATGCACAATTGTTATTTTCATATTCAGAGAAAGAATTTTAACATCATCATGGGTTTTTAATCTGTTTTATCTAAAATAAATGATTTGCTTTGATTTTAATTTGATCTCGCTTTCTTCACTTCCTTAGCGCTATCCACAAAAAGGCATTTTTTCATCGTTCAATAAATCTCTTGAAACACAAGAAGTTGAAATTTAGACTGAACATAGTAAGAAGTATAAAGTATAAATTTAAATTTAACCAAGTTTCAATATTTTAAGAACATTATAACCACGTACCTATATAATAGCTACAGTGGCTACCAATAAGAGAGCCATCATGCAGCCATATGAGACTAACTCTATCTATTTCTGAACAGTTTTTCTCGCTACACAATTTTGCTGAAATGACTTTTTTAGATAATGCTCATATATTGCTCAAAAATACGTTTTGATCGTGATCTGCTTGCATCACAGATGTAATTGTGACGTAGGCATTTTCGATCTAAATATAAATTTAAAGTCTTCTGTGATAACGTACATACATCCAACAATCAATTATAATTTAGAGCTTTACTGTATATCCTTGGATCTATGCAATGATGAGTTTAATGATATGGTGGTTATTGTGGCTGTTATTTGGTCAAGGATTCACAATGAAAATGGGTTGGAATGAAGAACTTGAGTTTTGTGAAGAAGAATGGAAGAAATTTGTGGCGGACAAAATTGAAATCGATTCGAAATGCAACAATACTCGTACACGTTGTTGTGTTGAGGAGAAGAAATATCTCTTGGAGCGATTTAAAATGTTTAGTGAAATATGTCCACTTGAAGGTAAAGTAAACAACAGTTTAGTTTACAGTAAGTACAGAACATCAACTGGCCATGTACTTGGCAAACAATCACAACACTTATATTACTGAGGTACTGTTTAATTTAAATATGTAATTGAAACCGTGTTCTTAGAAAGTGCAATAAAGTAAGGTACCTAAAGTAAATGGTTTGAACCCGTAAGGTACATGTTAAAGTACTCAACTGACTTGGATACACTAGCATTGACGCAGCATAATCTCTCGTTCATTGTTCATCTGTCTAGTTACAAAAGCAAAGTAATATGACAATGCAGTCAAAAATAGTAATATATGTAGTTATATGATAAAGTCTGTATAGTTATTGTCTATTTGGGTTTAAGGAGGACTTTCAATTCAATGTGAATAGTATGTAACATTTTGTGGCCAAATGAGTGTCACTTTCTACTTGTTCTTTTTCTCTGGACAACCAGTTAAAGATAACTTAATTTCTTGTTAGGGACATGTGGATGCAGCCCGATTATTATGAACGTTACTGCGCCATTCTACGGATATCGTAGAATATATAAAGAACCAGAAAACTTCACGTGTTCACATAAGTACATAAATGAAAGAGTAGAAAAGTATTATCTTGCACGTTATACTATCTTTGGAATCGGATAACACAAATTCCTTTACACGTATGTTTTATACGGTGGAAAGAATCACACTTGCTATGTTGTCATCAACGCGAACCTAAAACGACAAGGTACATGCAAGGGTAGTTCATTTTAGTTTCTCCTGTATCAGTTTAATTTATAGTGCAACAATATGATTATAATGCTTCATATTCAACTTCGCTCAAATCTATACGACACTTTGACCTATATTTAATTCATCATGTACGTATACTCTTATGTAAAATTTCTTTGCAGTTGCAAACCTAATAGAATACACTCCGGAACAGCCAAGCATGTTTAATTCGTCATACATATATCATAATGTAAACCTGTTAAAGAGTAAAAGCTCAATTCAAGAGCGTGTCTTGGTTATTTTCGGGTTTATTGATTTTATTCATTAACGATCACGTTGGAAGATTTTGGTTGTTTGTTAATGGGTGTGAGGGTTAGGGTTAAGATGTTCATATATTGATCTGTGCTAGTTAAGCTTTATTATTATAATACAACGGTGATGCAATCTCGATTGTGATTGTCTAAAAGCCTTCAAATAATTGTCAATACACTATCACCTAGAAAAACATTGAAAATTACCTGTAGGTGACGAATTTTCTTTATGAGACAACTGTATATACAAGAAATATTTTGGTAGAATCTTCATCGAGACTTTCAAGTGTTTTACTCTGCTCAAATTATCGGGAATATAGACGAAAAACACCGAAAGTGTTAAACTGTTTGTCCAGAGAGTTTTCATCGCGTATTTACAGGAAATAGACGAAAGCGAACCGCAAAATTTTCAATCAGACTGCAGTCAGCGCTATCCCCCTCAGATTTGCTTCGGTAGATATCCAATTGACCTCGGTCTGAATATTCTTTTATATCATGCTCAACTTAATCCAAAATATGTTAAATATTTTTAACGGGAGAATGTTCTTATATCACTTCAGTAGAAATAAATTTCGTTGTATATTAACCCTCTGTATAATATCCCTGTACATATTTGTATGCATCTCTCCTCTGCATGTATAAACCTTTATAAACCCGTAAAAAATGCCTCACGATTTTGTATAAGCCCTGGCATGATATTTATTTAAATTGTTTGGAATTTTAAATTGTGCAACTCTGGTATTCTTATTATCAAGAGCACTATTTCACAGCACAACTTAAATGAACTCCACCAAAAAGAGTGTACAGCTTACAGAGTTCACAATTCAGTTTTACATTGAATTATATATTCCTTGTCTTCAAGTTTGAATAATACCAACCTAAATCATCAACTTTTTTTGGGCACAAATTTGTATAAGTGCTTAGATAAACTTCCTTTTCATCAAAAACGAAAGTCATGGGAGTTTATACAGTTGAAAAATCAGGTTCAGCAAACAATCTTGAAATATTTCAAATATTTCAATTGCGTAAACAAACCATAACTCTCTCTTTTCCATCGTAACAGACCGTGCGCCGTGAAATTTTTATTAATTGATTTTTTACACTTTTCAACTTGTTTGTAAAATTTTCAGTCTCCATGCCATTGAACTAAAATACATGCAACGCTGCATCAAGCATATAATTGAACCATATTTTACGCTACACACGCGAGATTTTACCCAAGACACGCGCATTTAGTGTTTCGAGTTCCTCTCGCGGAGTAAAAATTGATTGACTACACACTCGTGTCTGCGGTAAAGTCTTGCGTGTCTGGGGTAAAATCACGGCTTTAAAATAATATTAGGCTTTTGTATTGCAGGTAGCGTTCCATGTATTTTAGATCAATGCTCCATGCTGGATGCCTTAAATTGTTTCATACGCCATTATTTTTAAAATGACCCTCAACAGCAATTGGTTTATTTAATTCTTTAAAGGTTGAATTTCAAGATGACTTTTTTGGAGTGTTTTTCCTATATTGATAGAATTCAGTATGCTAAATTATTTTTCATAAAGTCATATTATTTTTATATATATATTTTGTAGAGTGTGGTATTTTCAATCAATTTTATCATGTATCATTGTCCTTTTCAGATATGAATGGATTTTCATCAAACATGTTCAGTCAGGAAAGTGTGTTTATTATACTCTTCTTACCTGTATACAATGAATTGTTTTGAGAGTCAGCTTATTTTAAATTTTACAATCTGGCTCCATCAATAGGTCGAATACAACAAGGTGTCTTGTGAGATCAATACGTTTCTATAAGGAAAAGTCAGAATCAATACCATAAAAACAAATTTCTATAAACATATTTAAATCTCGCTTTAAATAATTGGTTGCAAATAAATCAATACACTTTCTTATACAAAGTTCATATGTAATGTTTATGCAGTAGCGTATCATCGACTTAACTCTTTATGCAAATATTTCATTTAATAAATACGACGAGTTGTTTTAAAATAAATTTGTTTCAACATCTTATTTGCATCTTCAGTATAATAAGAATATTATGTATATGCATGATAATTTTATATAAGAGTAATATGATGCAGTGATACAATTATCAGTAGATTATAAATATTAAAATGAAATACTGGTTGGAACTAATTTATGAGTGTAATTACAGGCGGAATATAGTGTTAAAACGAAAAACGTGAACGTTGAGATTACGATTAGTTTTGTTATTGTGAAATGCTTCTTTAAAACCCCGTCGTATTTATTAAATGCGCAATATCAATAGTGTTTTACGCAGTTGCAGCAAATATTTTGTGTTTACTGACCGTAAGAACAATAGATTTCTAAAGAATGTCTTTATGAGTAAATGATTTGTTACATTTATTTATTTTTAGCTTCTTAGGATATTAAAAATGGTCGTATGGTCCGTTATTCATGACATATCGTGGCCGGTTCATGATGTTTCTAAAGATGTTCACAGTATGGTGGAAATTTTATCTAAAGTTGAACATTCACAAAGAGCTGATGATGTAAATAGACCTGTCATTGTTATATGAAGGTAAAACACGTGTGACTCAAATATTAGCAAGTGATTAACCTCGTCGCTCTCGTGGTTGTAATTTGGCGGTTTAAGGTCTAAGGAAAATCTCTACAAGAATTTTGCAACAAACACAAAAATATTTATTTTCTTAATCCAGTGACAGAGCAGGTCACTGTGGTACCTATATTGCTATCTCAAATCTTGTGGACTGAGTCAAAACTGTCCAAGCGATTAATGCGTTCCAATGCATCAAGCTGATCCAGAATAGACGCCACAGTTCGTTGAAACAGCGGTGTAAGCTTGTCTTTATTATTCTCTTGAAGCCCCAATTGCATCAACACCCAGAGCTATTTTCATTAATGGACTATGCAGCCACTACAAAATAGACCATAAAAAATTTTATTATTATTGAATTCATGTTAGAAAGGGGATTTTGATGTTTACCAATACTTTGACACATTTATAATTAGGGTTTTGTGATATTTCGATAAATCGATTTATTGAAGTTATTGTCATGCTTGATGACTATCATGATATTGCTTTGCCTGTATGTACATTTAGCTTTATAGAACCCAAATGATTCTTTTTATTTCCGGAAAACGTAGCTCAAACATAAAATTAGCAAATTAATACGATATAAAAAAGTACAAAAGCTAGACTAAATCACTGATATTTATGTATTGATGCGCTAAACAATGAAATTGCATGCTTTGCTTGCGCTGTATATCATCAAAAAATCTCCTGTTGAGTAATTTGTTTCAAATCAACACTGCAGTATTTCCTTCATTGTCATCGAGACAGTTAATTTTATACGCTAGCCAATTGACAATTGTCAAAAAAAGATTTGAATTTTAAAGGTTTGATTATTTGTACATGGAGAAATTGCGCGTTTTCGATTTTTTACAAATTCATTTCGATGAAAGCATGCGTATTTTAACTGCGTATTTTAACTTTTTTTTTTAATGGCGAACAACAAATTTTTGCTTTTACTTTTGCTTTTCTTGTCTTTCAAAAACCGGTAAGCATTTTTTTTATCATTTAGTGTTTACAAATGCTGTATGTTTAAAGTTTTCATTCGTTGATAATCTCAAACACAAAGATTTTGTAAACATATTGTTGTAGGAAAACATTGATTTAGAAAATTACAATGAGACGTTCTGTTGATTGACATGTATACTTGAGGATACACGATACACATGAGTACTTGAGGATAGACTATACACATGTGTACTTGAGGATACACTATACACATGTATACTTGAGGATACACTATACACATGAGTACTTGAGGATACACTATACACATGTGTACTTGAGGATACACTAGACACACGTGTACTTAAGGATACACTATACACATGGGTACTTGAGGATACACTATACACATGAGTACTTGAGGATACACTATACACATGACTACTTAAGGATACACTATACACATGAGTACTTGAGGATACACTATACACGTGAGTACTTGACTATACACTATACACATAATTACTTGAGGATACATTATACACATAATTACTTGAGGATACATTATACACATGATTACTTAAGGATACACTATACACATTAGTACTTGAGGATACATTATACACATGACTACTTAAGTACACTATACACATGACTACTTAAGGATACACTATACACATGAGTACTTGAGAATACACTATACACATTAGTAATTGAGGATACACTATACGCATGAGTACTTGTGGATACATCATACACATGAGTACTTGAGGATACACTATACGCATGAGTACTTGAGGATACACTCATACATATGAGTACTTGAGGATACACTATACGCATGAGTACTTGTGATACATCAGTACACATGAGTACTTGAGGATACACTATACGCATGAGTACTTGAGGATACACTATACACATGAGTACTTGAGGATACACTATACGCATGAGTACTTGAGGATACACTATACGCATGAGTACTTGAGGATACACTATACACATAAGTACTTGAGGATACACTATACGCATGAGTACTTGAGGATACACTATACGCATGAGTACTTGAGGATACACTATACGCATGAGTACTTGAGGATACACTATACACATGAGTACTTGAGGATACATTATACACATGACTACTTAAGGATACACTATACACATGAGTACTTGAGGATACACTATACACATGAGTACTTGAGGATACACTATACACATGAGTAATTGAGGATACACTATACGCATGAGTACTTGTGGATACATCATACACATGAGTACTTGAGGATACACTATACGCATGAGTACTTGTGGATACATCATACACATGAGTACTTGAGGATACACTACACAATGAGTACTTAAGGATACACTATACGCATGAGTACTTGAGGATACACTATACACATGAGTACTTGAGGATACACTATACACATGAGTACTTGAGGATACACTATACGCATGAGTACTTGAGGATACACTATACGCATGAGTACTTGTGGATACATCATACACATGAGTACTTGAGGATACACTATACACATGAGTACTTGAGGATACACTATACACATGAGTACTTGAGGATACACTATACGCATGAGTACTTGAGGATACACTATACACATGAGTACTTGAGGATACACTATACACATGAGTACTTGAGGATACACTATACACATGTGTACTTGAGGATACACTATACACATGTGTACTTGAGGATACACTATACACATGAGTACTTGAGGATACACTATACACATGAGTACTTGAGGATACACTATACACATGAGTACTTGAGGATACACTATACACATGAGTACTTGAGGATACACTATACACATTAGTAATTGAGGATACACTATACGCATGAGTACTTGTGGATACACTATACACATGAGTACTTGAGGATACACTATAAACATGAATATTTGAGGATACCAATAATGTCTTATTTTCTCTCTTTACCCCCCTCCCCCTGTGGGATTTCTTGTTATCATTCAAGTGGGGATTAGTAAAGGCGAGAGGCTAAATAAAAAGATGCTGGGGACTAAGTAAATTTTCACACAAATTGTTTTCGCATTTTATATGTAATTCACATGCTTCAATATTACTTGTTATTAAAATACTCAATCCCCATTCTTTATGCAATGTCGTCTGAGAACCTGACAAAGTCCATGCTTAATACACATAATCTCGTTGTTCAGAGACTTGGAGGTGAATGTATGTCAGGGGTTTATTTTTTGCTACCTTTCAAATGTGGGATCATTAAAAGGGTGAGGTGGGGTAAAATAGGTGTGGAGCTGTTAAAGTGGGTACTCGAGGGTACTTGAGGGTACTCGAGTGTACTTGAAGATTTTAATTATGGTGTGTCTATGTTGTGATGTATACGCTTTAGAAAATATTTTTGTCTGATCGAATTTTTTTTAACATATGTTATTTGTGCTTTTACGTATTTAGAAAGCTAAGCTTGAGGGAAAGAAATCTGGTGTTAATAAAATGGATGTCGATTCTGACGTAAAGGAATACCAACCATACTCTTTTTCTGATGGTAAGTTACTATAGAATTGGATTTGATAGTTAAGATTAAGAAACTATCGATTGCATGAAATAGATTCGATTTATTAGGTTTTATTTAAATGGTTTTTAAACACAGCCAGTAATTCGCAGTTCATAAATTCATGACGCAAACTGCTTGAAATTTTTCAAATATCTTTTAAAACAAAGATCAAAGAATAATTTGTCTGTTAAATTGTCGGCAGAACGGCCGAATTTCGTGATTCAAGAATACTTTCTGTCGTTTCCTCCTTTCAAAAATACATTGAACATATAATGGTTGCAAGATTTGGCAAAACATTAAGGATGAAATGAAGCGCGCATCTTTTTAACAAGCAAACACGTTTGTATTTCCAGTCTTATTGGGCTCGTCTAAAGGTTAACATCAAATCTGTTAGTAAAATTATGTCCTTTTGATTGCCCATGATGCAACATTGTGTCGGTCTGGCGTCATCACTCCTGCTTCGATAATGGCTTTGCCACTTTGCCAAAGATTAAGTATGTAACGAAGCGTGTCTATTTAACAAGCGAACATATTTTATATTTACAATCTTCTTGCACTGGCATCAAGGTTGACAAATTCTACTTAAGTACACATTTTGTGTAAAACCTTGATTCGTGGCGTAGAAAAGCATTAACGTGGAGCGTTGCCCTCTTTTCGAGGTAAATAATTTTACCGTGTATTGTTTTTATTTCGTGGTACGCGCAATAAATCGATTATCGCAACAATTTGGACACTGTTGACTTCATTTTGGAGAAGTGTTTTGGATAAAGTGAGGAAAATCGTTATTTCCTTTTCAACACTCACTGATAGCGTTTTGACGAACGTACCCTATAAAGGCCTTTAAAATATACGAGTTGAAATCGTTGGGGAGAAGATTATTCACTACATCGTTTGTTTTCTGAATGAAGTGCTCTTCTGGACAAAGAATTACTGGTACGTTATTGATTATTGAAACGTGAGTTTTTTTTGCACTCCAAAAAGTGAAACTTCAATCGGATTACATTGCAATTATTTTGTGTTGGCACGCGTAGACTCTCAGAAAACGCTTAACAGCATTTCTGATATCGTTTTGCGCCATGATCGAAGTATTAGTTGGCATTATTTTGATATATTTTTTCTGGAGAGTTCTCTTTTTCTATTGGTCACATTCAACGTCACGTGATCTGCCACCGGTCCATTTCCACTTCCCTTTCTGGGAAACTTAAATCTGATTGGTACGACCGTTCACATTGATTTGGCAAAGCTTGCTAAGAAATATGGCGATCTAATGACAATCTACTTCGGAAGCGAGCGTGCGCTTGTCGTGAGCAGCTCGGAAATGGCTCGGGAGGTACTCGTGAATCAATCATTTGTTTTTGGTGGACGACCGTTGAACCTACCTTACGCGGCCATTTTGTTTAGTCACGATGGTAAGAATATCGCTTTTTCGAAAGAAATTTCTCAGCGTTGGAAGAAACAACGTAAAATATTTCATGCTGCTTACAGGACGTTTGGTAATAGTCTTGAAAATAAGGCTTGTGACGTCATAAAGGATCTTTTGGCTGACCTGGGAGAAAAAACGGTCACTCCAAGAAACATTCCGCAAGATATATTTCATTGTGTTGCTAACATCATTTGTGCCATAACATTTGGGTTCAAATACGACAAAGATGACCCAGAATTCCATGCTCTCATGAACACTTTTAATGTTGTGCAGCAGTATGTTGCCCCTGGCAACCTCATTGATGCCATCCCGTTGCTAAGGAGATTGCCTTTGAAGAGCGTGATTAAACTTAAGTCGGCCACTAATCTTTTGGACACGATTGTTTTGCGAATATACGGGGAGCACGAAACCGCAAATCCAGTGGAAGACTACGATTTGACGCATGCGTTTCAGAAGCAATCAGATGACATCATGGATAGTAAGAGTAATGACGTCATTTTAACGAAGGAAGAAATAACTTGTATGATAAAAGATATTTTTCTAGCGGGAATTGAAACCTCGACGTCAGTGATCACGTGGGGGCTGTATCTCTTGGCTTTTCATTCAGATATACAAGATCAGATTTACGAAGAGATGATGCAAGTTCTAGGCCCCGATTCTCCCCCGACATTTTCCGACCGTCATCGACTACCTTTGCTCTGGGCAAGCATCACAGAAACGTTAAGATATGGGTCTATTGTACCTTTACTTCTACCCCATAGGGCAACATCCGATGCAAAATTAACGGTTTTCACATTCCTAAAGACACGACTGTAATCGTAAATGCCTTTGCTATTCATAATGACGCAAGAACTTGGCATGACCCGCATGTCTTTAGGCCAGCCCGATTTTTGAATAGCTGTGGAAATTATTCGACACCACCGCCTTTCTCGACGCTTCCATTCTCGGCAGGCAGTCGCGTTTGTGTCGGAGAGACTCTCGCGAAGATGGTTGTGTTCGATGTCATTGCCCGGATGTTATATAGTTACCGTATGACATTGGTAAACATGAAGTATCAGAGAGTGGAAGCTGACATGACGAATACAGCTTCTATTCTTAAGCCGAAACATTTGCAAATAGCTCTTGAAAACGTTGTGTCTAAACATGAAGTATCAGAGAGTGGAAGCTGACATGACGAATACAGCTTCTATTCTTAAGCCGAAACATTTGCAAATAGCTCTTGAAAACGTTGTGTCGTAAAACTGACGCAGTTGATGGAACGACAAAATGTCACTTTTAGTTTTTTACTCTTGGTTTAATGACCAGTAGATTCATACGTTAAAATCTTTCATACTTAATTTTGTATATTATCTTGATGTAATCTTTTTCTGATATATTTAAAATAATAGTATTGTTCTTTAAATGCATAAATTTCTTTCGAATTACAAAAATTATACGCAGTGTTCAATTTGTCTTCTGTCACCATGCATCAAGTACATTACCCCTTCTTATCCTTGCATGTAGTAGATTAGCCTCCTTATCCATGCATGAAGTACATTACCTCTTTCATCCATGCATGTAGTAGATTACCCTCCTTATCCATGCATGAAGTGCATTACCCCTTCTTATCCATGCATGAATTACATTACCCATTTCATCCATGCGTGTAGTAGATTATCCTCCTCGTCCATGCATGAATTACATTACCCATGCTATTCATGTATGAAGTACCGGATCCCTCGTTATCCATGCATGAACCTTTTTCATCTTTGTTTGATTTTCAGACACTGGCTCTAATAACAGTGGTTTTTACCAGTTGCAAGCTGTTCTGACTCATCAAGGACGATCATCGTCATCTGGTCATTATGTGGTATGGATCAAAGGGAGTAACAGTGAGTAAAGGTTATTATATTGCATGAGTCAAAGGGTGTAACAGTGAGTAAAGGTTATTATATTGCATGGATCAAAGGGTTTAATAGGGAGTAAAGGTTATTATATTGCATGGGTGAAAGGGAGTAACAGTGAGTAAAGGTTATTAAATTGCATGGGTCAAAGGGTGTAACAGTGAGTAAAGGTTATTATATTGCATTGGTCAAAGGGTGTAACAGTGAGTAAAGGTTACTATATTGCATGGTCAAAGAGTGTAATAGGGAGTAAAGTTTATTATATTGCATGGATCAAAGGGTGTAATAGAAAGAAAAGTCTTACATGATTGGACTATAGTTTCTTTCTTCAACCTTAGATACTAAACATATTGCATCGGGGTGATAAACACCTCGATTCAAACGTTTAAACACAATTGATTCGCGAGCTTCGCTTTTTGTTTTTATATTGTCAACATATGTCTCGTTGCTGCAAGCTTTTTTCGTAAAGGTCAAGTCCAACGTTACATCAATTTCCTGTGCGTTTTATTTTTCTAAACAAGCCCGTTGCAAAACATTTTAATCCATTCGAGATCTTTATAACAAGTGAAAGAACAACAGCTATTAATATATTGAACATGGGTGAAAGTATTATTATATCACCTATTCCATCCAACGCGAGGAGTTTCTCCGCATTATAAGAACCGTTACCTTCTTCATGATAAAGAGTCTTGACCAAGGTAATCCCGCATAAAATAACGTGTATAGCTAAAAAGATAGACTCCACGATATTATCGCGTTTGGTCTGAAAGGGAACACCAGCATGTGACATATCAAAATCGCCACGCAGATCGTTAAAGCGACCAGCATTCGTAATTTAACATCGTAGAGAAAAGTCAGCACGACAATTAAAACCAGTCTACGAAAGATGAGAAATCCTTCCCACGGTATGCGCGAAGTTGTGGAACATTCATCGGCTTTATAAAGTCTGAATGGACCCTGTAAGACATGAAGTATCCTAGAAATACTGTTCGTACTCTTTGCGGTATGACTTTCGATGTTTGTTTCTTCATTGCTCGTGTTTATCTCACATATATCCTGCATCGTATTGTCGTAGTTATGTTGTCCCATTCTCGTGAAACCGCGTATCCTTGTGAATAGATACATTCAATAGCAGCAGAAGGGTAGAGGGAAAAGGCAAGCCATACAGAAGTGCTTGACGGTGATCTTCTCAAGTCGTAGAAGGTGCGATCCGAGAACAGGAGCAAGACAAAACGGCAGTATGGATGTTATGAAATATGCCAGGAAAATATAATGATATAGCTGATAACATTTAACGTTGCCGTTAATGTGGAGAACTTGCTCATCATCCAATGGAACACAATGCAGCAAGGATAAACAGAGTTGAGTGGATGATGCGTACATAAGGAGGGAGATGAGCGTATATGCTGAAGCAATGCGCGCTTCGAAACTTTGGTCTTTTCCGTCGTCTCTTGCATCAGTCTCAATGGAAAACGGGATGTCTCGTGACGTGTAAGATTTAAAGCGTTTACAGACGAAATTCTTTAAAATTGTTGCCGTGAACAGCACGGCAAGAAATGTGAGAAGGACGTAGCCCAGCGAGTGAAGGATTGTTTGTTTTGTGACGTCATTAAGGTCACGAATTGGACATTCCAGGAATGGAATACTCATGATAATGAAGTTGAAAATTTCTCCGATCTTATTACGTACTTCCGTAAGGCTGTTTGACGGGATTCAAAATTAGTTGGACTCACCAAGAAACGGCTGATTTGGTAATAGTAGGAAGTGGAGGAAGTGAAAAAAATTCGCTTGACAAATCGAATTATTTCTTCACGGTAGAGAAAAAACACTAAATAAACAATACAGTAGCCGAGGCCAAAGAGAATAGCATAATAATGACCGCAGTTAGCGTTTGGAATGCATGCTGCAGAAAACAACGATACCGACATGCCATGCGGGCATTCCCCGCAAATTTTACCTTGTCTCTTTCCATGGCAACTACTGTATGTGACGCAGTCATTGCCTTGGCAACAGTAACCGTGTGGGCATCGTATGAAACGGACTGATTGGTTGACTTTATATCCCCAGTAGTTTGGCTTTGCTGTCAGGCGACCATTGTAACATTGACCGCCATTCGCGCAGTCCTGACAATTGATACTGTTGGTGATATTGTTATGAAGTATCACACGACTTACCGAATAAGTATTCCGCTGACATGGTTTACATTGTACCATGAACTCGTTGCATTCAACGTATGCCTTATTTTTGACCTCGTAGCAATACATCTTTTTGGACATCACATATCCGTAGGGACTAAGGATCTTGAGGTTGTCCTGAAGACGGAAACGACGTACATTATCGGGCTTCGTGAAAATGTACGCGATGACGTTTAGTTCATGTTGGGTGGCGGTGATATTAAACGTGTTGTTTTTTTGAAACACCACGAAGTTCTTTTTTTGTGAGAAGATTAGCGTCGAGGACGATGCAGGATTCGAGTTCTCGAAATAACAGTCTCTAAATATGACGGAAACACTGTATGAAGAGACGCCAATGACAGCATCGTTGGGCTCATTTCCGCCATAGTTATCGATAAACGTGCATTTTGTGAACAGAAATTTTCCAGGATTTAAATGGAGATTGTTAAAACGACTTGAGCGATATTTATGCGTGTTTATGAAAGTGTTGTTGACGAAACGTACAGCTTTGCCTCGAAGGCCACCACGCGAACGATCAAAAAAAACGTACAAAACGGATGATGTGTTTTCAAATAACGAATTAGAAATAACAACATCAAAGATATCTACTTTTTGCAGCGGCTCAAGTCGAAGTATTGTTCCTGTGCAACGGTTGTCTTTAGTGTTAGGTTATTTAGATGAATAAGCGTTTGTTTTCGTTTCTTTGCGAACTTGTTCCCCTTGATATAAAGCGTATTTCCTGTTTTAGTTCCAGTGCATATTCCAAAATGATCTGTGAATTTGCTGCTTACAATTGTGACATTACTATAGACTGCCATTGGCAATATTTGTAGAAGCGATCCGCACATTTTCTTTTGCTCGCCATGAAAATGACAGTTTGACACGAAAACGGTCGTATGTTGAACGTAGAGTGTCTTTTTCCATAATTGTTCGAAGGAGACAGGACTGGCGCGAAACGTACTGTCGACAAGATGTGCTGTTAGATTTAGACAACTCATTGACGCCGATGGGTACGTACGACCATAAAAGTACTCTTGAGGATCGTGATGGAACAATCGTGAGCTGATTTTGCTGCGATTGCTGTATTGGAAACTCGGAAAACGCAGTTCCTGATGTAAAGTGCGAATCTTGATCGTTTATCGCAGCGAATGACCGAGTTTGAAGATATCAGAATCAAATTCGTCGTGTTTATGGTGATCTTTTCATTCAGTGATGGTATTTTGAATAATTGAGCTCCTCTTTTGCATTCAATTGTCGGTTTGCCTTTGTGACCTATGAACGTTAGGGACTTGTTAAGATATGTAACTGTTCTTGAATCTTGGCATTCGTCATATGGCTTGTGCGCATATTCAATGAGAATCTTCTCACCAGGCCTTGCAATCGTTATGGCGTGTCTGATCGTTCGACAAGGACGATTTCTAAAACTACACGATGGAAAATCTGCGCCATTTTGACTGACGAACAACGATTTTGTAAGTACACTTTGACAAGCTAAAGAAGGAAATTCGATTATAAACGCTCTATCTCATCATTTGTTCTTGTAAGTACTCTTTAGGAAATTGCTAAATGAAATTTGACAGTCTATTTTTACTCATTCGAAAAAACTTTGTTTTGTAAGCAGGTGGTTCCTTTTAGGGGGGTGGTTCCATTAAGGGAAATTCTTTTACGGGGCGGTTAATATGTGTGCGGGGGGCTCAAGGGGGCGGTTACTTTCGAGAATGAGCGCCAGTTTTAATTCACTGGGATGATTACGTTTTGGTCAACGCAAAAGAAACTGCTTAGTTAGGGTTGATGTATTTTAGCTACGAAGTAGTTGTTTTATTACTGAGTGTAATGAAACATGTTTAAGTTAGTCACGGTTGAAGCATCGAGAGCCCTTTTATGAAAGTTGATATGATTTAAGTTGAAACCAAGTATTTGTTTGCGTAGAGACAAGTCTCATGCAAACACGAATTACGTATTAAAAAATCATTGAACAAAGAATCTAAAATGTCCGTTTGCTGTTTTTGCATCAACTGTGGCGTCATCGCCATCATTTCAAATCACAGCAACCTCAAGACAAAAGAACTTCACGACAAGTTGACTGAATTTCTACCAAAAAGTGTTCACTTGTTCGTGATGATTTAAATTCCAACAACTTACCCAGATCGAATACACTGAAGCAGAACATGACAGAAAACCTCCAACTCAAAGCCATTTTTGTGAAAAACTTTTCAAACGAAGAGAATGGTGAAGTAAAAACGTGGAAACGATGGACGTGGAATGAAGCGGGAATCCTTGCAATGGTCTTATATTAAATAAATCTGTGTGGGCAGCAAACGTCCGTTTAATATCATTAATCATGTCTTGAAATGACAGGTGTTAGTTTACACGTGGTAGGTGGGGCGAACGCTTCTACTTCCTCCTTTAGTTTCTCTTTTTTTTTCAATCGTAATTTTGTCCGACTTTTGAGTATGAAAACATGCGCTTAAGTTGTGTAATCAATGTCTGTAACTAATTTTGCAGGCAACGCAATGCATTTTTATGTTCTGTTTATATATTTTAGACTTTTGAGAATGACTGTTGTTGTTGGTGGGTGTTGACTGACGTTTCGACAACCTTAGATGAAGATGACTCCCGCTAAGGTTGTCGAAACTTTAGTCATCATTCAACAACAAGAGTCTTTCTCAGGGCTCTATCCACATCCACAAACATGTAGCTATACTCCCCCCGGGTTCAAACCATTTATTTTATATTTTAGACTCTTGGATTAAGTGCGACGACGATAAAATAACGCACATTACTGAGGAAGATGTTTTGAAATTATCCGGGGGAGGTAAGATCATCTTCTGCCTAAGTTTTAATGGTGATTCTCATTGTGTTAGGTATTTGCTGCTGAAGTTTTAGTTGAATTTAGAGGAAGGGCTCTTTGAAAATTTTATCAATGCTTTTTATGATCATGTTTTTGCTCCTTTTTGTGTTTGGGTTAGAGCCTCTCAATGATATTGCAATTTTTATATATATTGCAATCAATATCGTATCAAGATGTCTAAACTTTCTTTCAAATATAATGTTAAATTTCTTCATGCCGGCTAAAACTTTTCAGCTTGGAAAAGACTTATTTTGCGTGGGTTTCATCGTCAATTGAGACGTTGAAACGAAAGCGAAACAAAATCTCGAGCATGTGCAACCCTCGACCTTCGGTCTCGGGCTTGCACTGATCTTCTCTCGAGTTCTCCCAAAGGTCTCCTTGGTTTTCATAAGCCTGTGCAAACACAGTAAAAATCTTTTATTTCTTAAATAATTTTAATCTAGTCTATTTTAATACATCATTTGCTCATCATTGGAGCACATTGAACATTCCATTACACGCTTTGACTTATCAATAGTCATTTAGAAAATTCATTAGCGCGAAGAAATAATATTTATTTATGCCGCATAGCATAACAATAGGGAATATTAAAGTAGCATTAACGTGCATTCCATAAAATCAAATAAACATGTATATACTTTGCACGAAAGACGTCTTTCCCAACAGAAATAGTCTATCGCAGATAGTCTTCTACAATTGCAACACCCCACTTCTATGTCATAGAAAATAGCTTTGATTTTATTTGAATGTCTGCTTGATTTTAAAGATCCTTGGTTAAGGCTGTTTCTCCTTTAGGTGACTGGCATTGTGCATATATGTTGCTATACGGGCGGAGAAGACTAGAAATCATTAAAGAATCTTCGTGATCACGTGATCTTAAGAAGAAGTGGATTTTATACCTTTAAAGAATGCGGTATTGTGCCGATATGTCTATGGGTTGATATCATCTTAAAATCTCCTGTTGAGTAATTTGTTTCAAATCAACACTGCAGTATTTTCTTCAGTGTCATCGCGACAGTTAAATTTATACGCTAGCCAATTGACAATTGTCAAAAAAAGATTTGTATTTTAAAGATTTGATTATTTGTACTTGGAGAAATCGCGCGTTTTCTATTTTTTACAAATTCATTTCGATGAAGGCATGCAAATTGTAACTTTTTTTTAAATGGCAAACGACAAAGTTTTGCTTTTACTTTTCTTGTCTTTAAAAAACAGGTAAGCAATTTTTTTTATCATTTAGTGTTTACAAATGTTGTATGTTTAAAGTTTTCATTCGTTGTTACTCTTAACCACAAAGATTTTGTAATCATATTGTTGTAGGACAACATTGACTTAGAAAATAACGATTAGACGTTCTGTTGATTGACATGTATGTTTTAGGGTACACTATACACATGAGTACTTGACCGTACACTATACGCATGAGTACTTGACCGTACACTATACACGTGAGTACTTGACTATACACTATACACATGAGTACTTGAGGATACATTATACACATGATTACTTGCCAATGTCAAGTACTGAATTTTGTGCACCTCTTCTATTCAACGTATTGTAGGACACATTTGTATGACGTTAGAAAACGTTTTGAGCGAAGAATTTAAGGAAAAAATGTGTTACTTTTGTGTTCTCAACTTACATCTGTCTTTTGTTAAGCATCATGACTTACCTTCATCATCAAGACTTACATCTGTCATCGTGGTGTCACTGTATTTTACGCTAACTTGGAGAATTTCACAATTATTCATTTACAAATATATCAAAATATAAACGATTGCTACTCTTGGATAATGAATATTTCAGACAGGGTGGCTGCAAATACTGGGGATTAAATTAATTTTATTCTTGCTAGTTCATTTCGTGCTTCAAAAAATGTCCAATTGTTATTGCTCTGCACGATGATTAACGTTCACTCTTTAATGCAATGTATATCGCTACCGTATTGCTGTTTTTAGACAAGATACTTACGTTTTCTTGTCATAGCTGGCTTGATTCCAACTGGAATTTAACCTTATTTAATAAAAGCATGCAAAATCAGTCGTATTCCTCCAATATATCTTGTGCTCTTTTTCTTTCTTAAGAAAACAGTTTTTGATTTTTCCAATTTTACGTGAATGGAGAACAATATGAGAGTGCACCATTGCTCTCTATCAAATCAAGCCAGTTCTAATGTTATAATGAATTTCAACAAAATCCCTTTTCTATTTAAGGTCATGTTTGTGATAATCCTCTATTAAAAAACGCAGAAAAGTTCCCAGATTCTTGGTTTACTGCCTTCGCAAAGAGTCGTAGTGCTTCTAAAGCAAGGATATCCAGTGGTAGTTTATGGTGTGCTTCTGCTGCAGATGGCAATTATTATTTTCAACTGAATTTCCCAAGTCTTTATACAGTTAACGTTATCACTATCTTTGGAGACAGTTCAAGTTCAAGCTTTGTAACTAAATATCACTTGTAGACAAACATTGATGGTTTGAACTGGAAATCTGAAAAATCCCAGAAGGTAACAGTAGACATATCGAATTTGTATATTATAAATTTAAAGGGATATTTAAAAAAAGAATGAAGTTATAAACTAAGTAAACTTTTAAATTGCTATTTATATACAAACTTGTGTGCAGATGTTGATTCAGCGGTGTAGCCGGCACGCAAAATTGCTGGTTCTATGTAAATTTCAGATCATTATAATTATTCATTTCTTTAGAGATCTATTGTTTTTACAGTTAGTGAGCTCTGAGAATTTTGCACTGTAAGTACTTAATGTTTCTCAATATAAAGTTTTTTTCTTTGAGTATTAATTAAACATGAGTTAGTTGACAAAACAGAACAATTTTCCATGAAGGCTGAAGTGTTAGTTTCTTTCTCTAATGAAATAAACTTATTGAAACAAGCCTTTTCAAATGCAGTTAAGTTTAACACGTGTTATTTGAGAAAAAGCAGAACATTTATTTCACTTAGGGGCTACACATGGTTCAATTTGTAGATTTTTCTTTTATCGTGCAGACTTACTCACAGACAAACCAACAGATCTCATTGCAACCAAATCTGCATTGACGTACCTCAAGGTATCATGGAAATATAAAAAAAAAACTGGTGTAAGACTTGGTACAAATATCTCGAATCCTCTTACAAGATATCTATTGATTTTGCTGAAGGATACTATGATTGTTTTTAATAAAACTCTGGAGGTAACTGACAAGAAACCGTACAACATTACGAATCTTGTTCATTACGCAACGTATAAAGTTAATGTAACCGCTGGCAATTCTGAATGCTTTGGTAGCTCAACTACAGCTACTTTTAGAACTGCTGAAGATGGTGAGTTCATATCAGTTTTTGTGTATACATATCGGCTGTTGTTGCATTGATGGTGTTATTGCCATAGACGACTTTTGAAAGCTCAAATCTTTTCTGGTCGATATTTATTTCAATCATGTTTTTTTTATACTGTATTATATTTAAGTTAACAATGACAGTGTACACTTGTTAGGACTTCTTTCTAAAGTGTATTTAATATTTTATATAAATCTTTAAAACAAATGTTTTTATTTTTGTTTAGTTCCCGAAGGTCCACCTTTAAATGTTCAAATTGTCGCCTTAAGCAGTTCATCGTTATCAGTTACGTGGGAGCCACCAGACAAGAAGAAAACAAATGGAAAGATAGTCAATTACACTGTTTGTATTACACATTTGGAGAATGAAACCTGTTCAATGAAGTATATGATCGAGGAACAGCGTTTGGACATAAATAATGTGAAACCAGGGACAAAATATTATGTTAGTGTTTTAGCTTCTACAATAGTGGGATCTGGATGTTACAGCAATGTTACATGGGTATTTACAAATGGATGTAATTTGTCAATGGTTTATGCACAAGTTTGTTTAAGATGATAAATTTATTCAAGTTTATTTATTTAGTGGCATCTGAACTGTCCACGAAGCAGATTGGAAATACATTGACTTATTTGTTGCAAAATCCAAATGTGGAATATCGCTAACTATGTATTTTACTAGAACAAATTATTGTAAAAAAAACTAAAAGAACTTAAAAGTATTTTTTTGAGTTTTTCGGATTCATGGCTAAGTATAGGACAGTTGGTTTCATGTGGGATCGAGGTAGTCTAAATATCTCTCTGGGGAAAGCTTTGATGACTCGTCGCTTTTCTTTGGCATTGCGGATGCATGCATAACATATATTTTAACCATTAACAAAAGCAGAGGTTATGCATGTGTTTTAAAAAATGTTTTGCCTTAAATTGCAGATATTTCTATGTAGTCTCGATGAAAAATGTCACAGAAGAGAGTCGACTGCCTTCTAACTTTAAAAACACAGACTTAGTGACTTATTCTAAGGCCATATCTTCCACACAACCAATGCCGTATATTGCTGCTGTAGTCTCTCGCAGAGACTTTAAGCCTGATTTTACACTTGGTCATGGTGGAAACACAACACGGCGTTCCAATGGTGAAAGTTATTATAATGGCCCGTTGAATATTGGCACTAGCTACAAAATATTTCAGCGCGTTTTCATAAATGATCAGGTGCGAACATTTATTTACGTTTTCATCAGCATTGATTGCTGCAATTTTTATTCAAATATAAATATTCACTTCGTTTCAGGGTGATTATTATTCCACTGACTGGAGTCCAGTGGCAGCAACTGCCCAAAAGCACAAGTCTTCAGGTTTGTGTTTGCTTTCAATAGCATAAGGAAGTTTATCGATGTCTAAAGTGCAATGATTCAAGATCTTTGCAAAGTTCCGTATACTGAAATGCCTAAAAATTTTTAACGATGAATACAGATTTTGTTTGGTGATACTGCCGATATAATTCCCCTAAATAACTGCCTTAGTGATTTTGTGTACCTCTTCTCTAATTTCATTGCATTCCAAACCCAATTTATACCATAAATAAATCATTAATAGTTAACAAGGATGACTACTCGGGGTGTGAGAGCGGTTACACCCTCAGCTTTACAAAAATGATCGCTGAAGGACAATATGTGTTGGTAATGTTATGATTTGTCATTCAATTTTATCTTGTAGACGGTGGAAAAATTGGAGCCATTGCTGGTGCAGTTGTAGCTGCAATTTTGCTCATTATTTTTGTCGTATTGGTCATTCTTTTTGTTAGGATCAATTTAAACTCTGCTACAGTGCAGTGAACTGCGTATTGTAGTTATTTGACGGCTACTAAAAGTTCTCAAAAATGGGGAAGTTGAATTTTTTTCGCGAAATTATTAGACGTTTTCTGAAATTTAACGTACTATAGAGAATATGATTAAGCATAGAATTTTATTTCCTTTTTAACTATAAGAGTGAACGAGAGTGAATGATTCTGAAGAGTATTTGAAAACAATTTGGAACATAACATCAAATTTTTCGGCTAAGGATGTAGTCAATATTTGAAATAGGATAATAGTTGTAATACTTTTTATCTAAGTACATTAAATAAGAAATAAAGTTAAATTACAAACAAACAGTGGCGTAGCATGCTCAGTAATTTATTTAAATAAACCGGGGGGAACGGGATTTTCATTCATTCATAATTTTGGAGTCAATGGAATATATATGAATATGTACACACTGTCATCTCATTAATTTACCTGACGTAAGGAACAGGGAGTTTAAGTTGATGGAGTTTACTTTTTACCAACTATATTTGTGTTAGTATAATGTTGCTGTTCTTGTTCTTTCCTGTTTTTGCCTATTATCCCAATTATAATGTTCCTTTTAAACTCATCCAAAGTTATCGAGTTAATTGAATTTTCTGATAATTTGATTGCTAGAGTGCTAGGAGCATTATGTTTGGCTGTAGACTAGAGATCAACGAAAAAAAAAGAAATGGGTTTGAAGCTACCAGACAAGATTATACAAAACAAGAAAAATGCATATGATCTCCCAACACGTCCTTCTCTCCTATAGTTTTTTGTCAACCCATCTCCTTGTTTTTCAACGCTGGCCGGAACACCCAACAAAAGAATGATCTAGGAAGTTGGTACTAAACTTCCACAACATTAAACCCGTTTCAAATTTATATTTGCGTTCGAATTATGTTTGAATTATGAGTAAAATATTAAATTGTTACAAATACAGAAGTACAAAATATCATTCAGAGATTCTCGACTCTAGATATGAAAAATATAGCCAACCCTATCACGAGTTTCGCCGATTCATTAGTTTTTATTAGTTGGAACACACACCAACGATTATGATGTATGAGCTTTCACTTCCTAAGAATATGAGCAGACGAACCCCAAGTAAAACAGTTTCTTCTCGTCATGTAATATCAAGAAGTCTATTGATATCTTCAAGTAATCACGTGTTATTTATAGTTCAGTTGCTTTCTTTGTGCGCCTCCTGCTCACTTAATGTTTATTAAGTTCATCTTTGTCATTCATTTATATCCTATAAACGGTAGAAATGATGGTGCTTTTACTGGTGCAGTCGCTGCTTCGGGTTAGTTTTTATTCTTGTCGTATTGGCTGTTTGTTAGGATCAATCTAAACTCTTGTACTCGAACGTGCTGTAAAATGCGTGTTGAAGTTATTTAACATCTACTGACAACATTTGACGAGAATGAATTCTTGACTTGCAATTCAGCCATGTTGGCGGTTTGATAGAAATGAATATTTTATTAGTGTTATTGTTGGCACTAGCCGACGTAGGCGAGCAACATTGTTTGGTAAATCTCAAGAGAATGGTTGCAAGTCAAGAATAGTTCTGAATTGAAATTTAAATTATCAAATGCTCAAATCAAACACTCTGCGGCGACTGCTCACTTTAATGTCTTAATCTATAGGTTAGTTTATCAACCGCTTGCTTGTTCATTAAAATTATTTAACAATGATTGTAATTTGTATAGAAGTAATAAAGAACTTACCTTTTAGAAAGGAAAATTACAACTCAGTATACGTAGGCACTGGATGTACGATTTGGCATTGTGAAAGTGGATTGTATTTTGGAATCATCAGAATGTTCTAACCCACTATGAGAAAACTCAATTACTACGGTAGTTCTTACGAAGTGTCTATTTAGCTAGTTAAAGTCGCTGATATAATAACTCAAATTTTCTACCCCACAAATCTTTCGATAATCTTCCTCGTGATATAGTCGTTCATCACATGAATTTACCTAACGTGAGAAACAAGGAGTTTTAGTGGATGGAGTTGATTTTGTTAGTGTTAATAAGATGGTGCTGTTCTTGTCCTTTCCTGTTTTGCTTTATATCGTCATGATAATATTCATTTTAAACATTCAAAATGATCGGGTAAATTAAATTTCCTTAATGATTTGACTGCAAATGCTAGTTAACGTTGTGCTTCGGCTTAGATTGGTGATTAACAGAAAAGAAGACATGGCTTTGAAGCAATGACACAAAATTTTACAAGATGTACAAATCATGAAGCGCAATTGCCTAACTGGTTTCAATTTTGGCTTATGCTTTCATTCCAGTTATTTAAATATTGAGTTTGCTGGTTAACTGAAGTCATGCAGTATGGCGGATAGTAAGAATTTGGATAGTCTTGTGGTTACGGACGAAATTTTGTCATCAAAAAGGTATTGAATTCCTTTTCAATATTAATTGTCAGTTCTTAAATATTTCATTACATTTTTTCACTTTGTACTTCGTTGGCGTTAAGTTGACCTTTTGAAATTGACAATCATTAGTCACCATGTTTTGAGACAAAGCCGAATAACAAAGACTCAGCAGACGACAAAATATTCTCCATGCCTGTATTTGTGTGCTATTCGTATTTTCCTTTTATTTTTGCTGATGCGGCATCGAATTAAATTAGAATTATACGTTGTAGTTTCTCTAAATTACATTTATACGAATAAATTAGAAAACCAAGAATCACAGGCAATTTGATATGTAGATCAAAACGTTTTGGTATGATCTGTGGTTTTATATTTGATGTCTTCAAGAAGTGAATCTTAGAGTTGAATTCCAGATATCAAAATTGTGAGTCGCCTTATCTGATATGATCAATGTAAAAGTTTTAATATATTTTTGGTGATTAGTGTCCTTTAATTAAAAAGTGATCTGATGTTGAAACTTAAGTCATTATGTGTTCCAGTCTTTGTGTAGAGTGATTTTTTGTATAATTACAATGGTTGTATAGCTGTATATAAAAAATAAAGTCAAAGTAATCCAGTCCAGTATTTTCATTCCATACTAGTTACTTTTATAATTGTGTGAAGATAGTATTTTTAGCAACTGGTCTTTTGATACTTCTTTGTTGTGCTTTTACACCATTTGTTCATCATTAAAGAAGATTCAACATTCAATTACAGGCTTCGACATACCTGCAATAAAACAATAAAATATTCATTATCTTAAAGGAAAAATCAGAAACGCGTGCCTACAATCAATACGTTTCTATAAGAGAAAAGTCAGAATCATTCGGATAAAAAGAAATTTCTATAAACATATTTAAATCTCTGCTTTAAATAATTGGTTGCAAATATATCAATACACTTCTCTTTCATACAAAGATCATATGTATATGTTTATGCAGTAGCGTAGCCAGCCCGACTTTACTCTTGCTATGCAAATATTTTTTGCATTTAATAAATACGACGAGTTGTTTTAAAATAAATGTGTTTCAACATCTCATGATTGCATCTTCAGTATAATAAGAATATTATGTATATGCATGATAATTTTATATAAGAGTAATATGATGCAGTGATACAATTATCAGTGGATTATAAATATTACAATGAAATACTGGTTGGAACTAATTTATGAGTGAAATTACAGGTGGAATATAGTGTTAAAACGAAAAACGTGAACGTTGAGATTACGATTAGTTTTTTTTATTGGGAATGCTTCTTTTAAAAAAACTCGTCGTATTTAAATGCGCAATATCAATAGTGTTTTTACGCAGTTGCGGCAAATATTTTTGTGTTTACTGACCGTAAGAACAATAGATTTCTAAAGAATGTCTTTATGAGTAAATGATTTGTTACATTTATTTATTTTTTGCTTCTTAGGATATTAAAAAAGGTCGTATGTTCCGTGATTCATGACATATCGTGGCCGGTTCATGATGTTTCTAAAGATGTTCACAGTATGGTGGAAATTTTATCTAAAGTTGAACATTCACAAAGAGCTGATGATGTAAATAGACCTGTCATTGTTATATGCAGGTAAAGCACGTTTGACTCAAATATTAGCAAGTGATTAACCTCGTCGCTCTCGTCGTTATAATTTGGCGGTTCAAGGTCTAAGTGAAGATCTCTACAAGAATTTTGCAACAAACACAAAAATATTTATTTTCTTAATGCAGTGACGGAGCAGGTCACTGTGGTACCTATATTGCTATCTCAAATCTTGTCGACTGAGTCAAAACTGTCCAAGCGATTAATGCGCTCCAATGCATCAAGCTGATCCAGAATAGACGCCACAGTTTGTTGAAACAGCGGTAAGCCTTTCTTTATTATTCTCTTGAAGCCCCAATTGCATCAACACCCAGCGCTCTTTTCATTAATGGACTATGCAGCCACTACAAAATACACCATAAAAAATTTTTTTATTATTGAATTCATGTTTGAAAGGGGATTTTGATGTTTACCAACACTTTGACACATTTATGATTAGGGTTGGGTGATATTTCGATAAATCGATTTATCGAAGTTATTGTCATGCTTGATGACTATCATGATATTGCTTTGCCTGTATGTACATTTAGCTTTATAGAACCCAAATGATTCTTTTTATTTCCAGAAAACGTAGCTCAAACATAAATTTACCAAATTAATGCGATATAGTAAAGTACAAAAGCTAGACTAAATCACTGATATTTATGCATTGATGCGCTAAACAATGAAATTGCATGCTTTGCTTGCGCTGTGTGCCCGCTGCATTTGTGTCATCCGGTAACTGTTATTGAATATTGAGTAACTAACATAAAACTTTAGTTACTTTGTTGTTTATGTTTAGTTCATTTTATTGATCAAAATTTAAAAATAATGTGGTGCATTTTGTTATCGTATTTATCGCGATATTATCGAATATCGTGATAATTTCCTAAAAAATAATCATGAGATGATTTTATTGATAATCGTCCAACGCTATTTATGATCATCTTATGTTGTATGGAAGTTATCGAATTTCTACTTTAAATATCGTGCTTGTATTCGAACTTTGCTCTCAGTAACGTATCATACCCTCATAGTTGGTTGTGCTTTGTAAATCATCTGC